CTAGAGGGCTCCGGAGTGCAGCATTAGCCTATGTTCCCAAACTCAGACAGGCACCAGTTTAAACTGAATCGGAGGTAAAAGTGGCCCTGCTTTACCTGCAAAGCTGTCAAATCTAGAAGTTGAGAGTAATCTGTAGCTGTGTCGCTAATGCTGTTGGCCCTGAGCTGTGCTTGGACTGATTCCTCTCTATCCGAGGCTGAAAAGAGTACCTGCTACATCTCCGAACCCTCTGAACTCACACTGTGTCTCAATTGTCTGCTAAACACTAATAATATAGTGCCCTGCATAAGTATTCACACCCTTGCAGTTTCATATTTTTTGTGCTACACTGATATTGAAATGGGTTTAATAAAGCAATAAGGCATGAGAACTGTGCTTTATAGTGATTTTATCACGGATAAGGGTGTTATTAGGCATTAAGTGAACCAGAGTAAAATACATTTAGCTGTGATAAAATCACTGTAAAGCACAGCTTCAAGTGACTTATTGCTTTTATAAATTGGCAGATATCATAAAATATGATAAAATAAATACATTTTCAATAAAAAATAACTACTGATAATTATTAAGATGCACAATTATTCTGTCAATAATACAAAAATGTACTTCCTTTAGAATATGTTGCTGTTGCCAAGCAACCATGAACTGCAGAAAGAGGACAAGAACATTCAGTCACACATTGCAATGTATATTTATTTTAAACTTTGGTTATATAATAATGAACATGTCATAATATAGTACTGTTTAATGCAAAAGCCTTTGTAAGTAGTTCTTGCCCACCATATTACCACAACTACAATGCTAACTTTCACTAGTGCCTCTATTCGATATCCAGTCTTATTTAGCGTCAAGCTAATGGTGTTGTACATCTCTTCTCCCATCCTGGGGCTGAATCCCAGATGGCTCCCTGCTCCCTACATAGTGCACTATGTAGGAATTATAATACTGAGTCCTGCACCCAAACAGTACTAACAAACAGCAAATTTGGGATTTATCCAAGTGTGCACAATCCATACTGGACAAATAGTGCACTGTTTGGGAGCAGAAGCCAGAATTTCACAACTTACAGAGCGCACTATATAGGAAAAAGGAGCAGTTTGAGATTCAGCCTGGGTTTAATGCTGCTTAAGGCAAGAAAAACAGAGACATTCAACTAACATTGTTTTATTATATTGCAGTTTTACAGTGATGCATAAAGTAAGGAATTAAATTCAAAGCCTGTGATATTAAAGGAAGAGTTATTTACCCTGTAAGCTATCTTTTAGCCTGTAAGCTAGCTGATATAAAAGCATACATATAAAAGCGTTTGTGCTGCTAATATGTAATTAAGTGGGACAAAGCAGCAGTATTTGGATCCAGATTCTGACCCTCCCTTCCCCCACAATGAAACTGCCAAACTTCTCAGCACAACCATGCAGTAGCTGTCTCGATGTCTGTTGCTATGGCAACTGGCGGCTAACCGTGTGCTCTTTGACGCTCTGTGTGCACAGTTTCTAAAATAACAGCCTAAAATAACTGTATATGGAGAGATTGGCTCCTAACAGCGCTGCAAGGCCTTTCTGAAGAAACGCTCCCCCGATCACTGATGTGTCTTATTTGTTGTGCCGGAGGGTGTGTGGGTGTGTGTGTGTGTGTTCATGTCGGTGGAGGTCTCCATTTAGCATGCTTCATTACGCTCCTGACAGATTTCATATCCCGCCTCATGCAAAGACACTCAGAGGTCAATGTGGCAGTGTTTATTTCACTGTAGAATCAGTGTTGGGTTCAGGGACTCTGCCACACATACACGCAGGCCCAACAGCACATATATCAATTACCCAGGAGGGACACTTCCTCAGCACAGCCAACACTGAAGAGATGCTCCGAGCATTTCTGATATGCGCTGAAATCCATCTTGTGTAAACGCTCTTTGACACCCTCATTGTAGAGTTTAAAGGGCAACTCCACCTATTTTTCAACATTTCTGTACAGTTTGGTGGTTGAGATGTAAACAGAGTGATTCAGAGTGGTTCGGTGTGAAATGATTCAGATTTCCTTACAGTGGTGGTGATAGGAACCAGGGGTCACCATGACTGCAACACAAACATAGCCATTTTATTTATTGTCCAAAACCACCAGTGAACCTACACGTGTCTACTCAGTTTTATATGGGATGTTGATGATGGTAAAATAGTTATAAATTTGAAATAATATGCTTTCTTTGGGGACTATTTTGCATCACAACACCCTACAGGTATCCCTCCACCATGAACAGATTTTAAAAATAGCTTTAAGCCTTCTCAAAACTAACAGGCAGTGTATTCACAACCATTTCATGTAGTAACTTTCTGTGAGGGAGCTTTAAGAGGTGGACATCTGGTTCCTATCACCACCACTGTGACTCTGTAAGTTTCACATCAAACAATTCTATGAAACTGTGGATTGTATGCTCTCAAAATCTAGGCTTATTACTGAAATAATAAACTTAAGACTTATTATCCACTAACTAAATTATCTGCTAACTAAATCTGGTTATGAAGCCATTCTTAATGGAGCCATACAGTGGGGCAAAAAGTATTTAGTCAGCCACTCATTGTGCAAGTTCTCCTACTTAGAAAGATGAGAGAGGTCTGTAATTTTCATCATAGGTACACTTCAACTATGAGAGACAAAATGAGAAAAAAAATCCAGGAAATCACTTTGTAGGATTTTTAAAGAATTTATTTGTAAATTATGGTGGAAATAAGTATTTGGTCACCCACAAACAAGCAAGATTTCTGGCTCTTACAGACCTGTAACTTCTTCTTTAGGAAGCTCTTCTGTCCTCCACTCGTTACCTGTATTTTAATGGTACCTGTTTGACCTTGTTATCTGTATAAAAGACACCTGTCCACAGCCTCAAACAGTCAGACTCCAAACTCAACCATGGCCAAGACCAAAAAGCTGTCGAAGGACACCAGGAAGAAAATTGTAGACCTGCACCAGGCTGGGAAGAGTGAATCTACAATAGGCAAGCAGGTTGGTGTGAATAAATCAACTGTGGGAGCAATTGTAAGAAAATGGAAGACATACAAGACCATTGATAATCTCCCTCAATCTGGGGCCCCACGCAAGATCTCATCCCGTGGGGTCAAAATGATCATGAGAACGGTGAGCAAAAATCCCAGAACTACACGGAGGGACCTGATGAATGACCTGCAGAGAGCTGGGACCCAAGTAACAAAGGCTACCATCAGTAACACACTACACCGAGAGGGACTCAAATCCTGCAGTGCCAGGCGTGTCCCCCTGCTTTAGCCAGTACATGTCCAGGCCCGTCTGAAGTTTGCCAGAGAGCATATGGATGATCCAGAAGAGGATTGGGAGAATATCATGTGGTCAGATGAAACCAAAATAGAACTTTTTGGTAAAAACTCAACTCGTCATGTTTGGAGGAAGAAGAATGCTGAGTTGCATCCCAAGAACACCATACCTACTGTGAAGCATGGGGGTGGAAACATCATGCTTTGGGGATGTTTTTCTGCAAAGGGGACAGGACGACTGATCCGTGTTAAGGGAAGAATGAACGGGGCCATGTATCGTGAGATTTTAAGCCAAAACCTCTTTCCATCAGTGCATGGAAGATGGAACGTGGCTGGGTCTTCCAGCATGACAATGATCCCAAACACACCGCTCGGGCAATGAAGGAGTGGCTCCGTAAAAAGCATTTCAAGGTCCTGGAGTGGCCTAGACAGTCTCTAGACCTCAACCCCATAGAAAATTTGTGGAGGGAGTTGAAAGTCCGTGTTGCCCAGCGACAGCCCCAAAACATCACTGCTCTAGAGGAGATCTGCATGGAGGAATGGGCCAAAATACCAGCTACAGTGTGTGCAAACCTGGTGAAGACTTACAGGAAACGTTTGACCTCTGTCATTGCCAACAAAGGTTATGTTACAAAGTATTGAGTTGAACTTTTGTTATTGACAAAATACTTATTTTCCACCATAATTTACAAATAAATTCTTTAAAAATCCTACAAAGTGATTTCCTGGATTTTTTTTCTCATTTTGTCTCTCATAGTTGAAGTGTACCTATGATGAAAATTACAGACCTCTCTCATCTTTCTAAGTAGGAGAACTTGCACAATCAGTGGCTGACTAAATACTTTTTTGCCCCACTGTATGTATTTTGAGTTGGCAGTTTATTAGCTCCACCTACCTTATACCTACGTTCACTGGCCTTTTTTTGAAAACACTTAGTTGCCACTTTATTAAAAACCATTACTTTGTAGCTCCACTCCACAAGTGTACAGTTACAGACAGCAGTTCATCTGTTGATACACAGTTTGTGTTCTTTTAATGAGAGTCGCTTTCATTTTGCCAAACAAATCTGCAGGGATATTTTTCCAAACCTCCATACCTCAGTCTTAGAAGTTGGTTGATCATTTTCTGAAGTAATTCAAACACATTCAGTGATGTTGAGGTCTGGATTCTGGGGTGGTCAGTCCATTGTTCAGCTTCTTTGTTTGATGTGTCTCCTTTTCCCAGTGAGGCTTCTTGACAGCTACACATCCTTTCAGACCCATAGCGCTGAGTTGTCTTCTCACAGTGGAAGAATGGACAGAAACACCTGTGGATGTTTTCAGATCTGAAGCAGCTTGATTTTCTCCTCTCTCTCAAAGATGAAAGCTTTAAGTGCTGTTTGTCTGATGGAGGCAGTTTTGGTGTCTACCAGGTCTTCCAGGTGGTTGTTAAGAGTCACGTTTTCTCTGTAACCTTTAATCATCAAAAATACATTTTTTGCACTCCAATTTTTAAAATTTTTCCTTTTACTTTCTCCTTCCTTATGCAAGTGGATTATCTTATATCTACAAATATCTAAAATTATCTCACAGACATATCTCCTGAAACATAAAACTTGTGCTAAATGGCTGTTTGGACTGAAAATTAAATCAATGAAGGGTGGCTTCTGACTTGCAGTTCTGTATGTGCACCTAATGGCTTTTACATGAAAGGACAGAAAAGAGAGGCGAGGCGACAAGCTATATATGGCCATCTGAGCCACTTGACCTTTAAATTTTATTGGTTGATAAATTTTCACAAGCACAGGATTGTATTATCAGGTTTTACACATGTAAATGCCTGTAAGTGGAAGATCATCAAAAGATACAGTTCATATGGCAGTGTTTATTTGTACAACACCAACAAGCGTGTCACCACCACCATCATCATTGCATTTACCATCATCATAATCATCATCATCGTCTCAACAGCTGATCTGGAGGTCAAAAAATAAACATTAGAAGCCTTTAAATATAATATATTATTATTAATATTTATATAATGCATTTTCCACATGCAAGATAATAATTGCTAAGTTTGTGCAGACATTAAACAGATTGATAGAGAAATAAATAAACTGACCAATTTTAGTGAGAAATGGACTTTCTAAGCCAAATCAAGACATAAACATGGTCTTCGCTATTTACATCAAAATAACAATAACAAATGTTGCTATTGTACACTGTGATCATTCATTCTTTAGCACTCTCGCTCTAAATCTCTGTACAGAATTGATAATAGAACTGATCTCTTTGATGCCTGAGGTCTGGAATGGAGGGATACAGACGAGACGAGCGCGGGAGGGATGGGGTGAAAGGGATGGGACGATCACAAGTACACAGACCAATAGATGATGTTGAAGAAGAGGAAGGAGAAAGGGAAGAGGGCACGCGAGTACAGGTCGATGCGTTTGGCAGCCGACGGGATGACAGGTTTGGGGGGTGGGGGCTTCTTGTTGTTTTTGGCCTGCGATTTGCCCACAGCGTTCCCCACTTCGATTGGCTTTCCGTAGCAGTCAAAGTTCGAAAGCTCAAAGTCCCGCGGCAGGGAGCCCACGATGCTGAAATCGTTGGAGCGCAAATCCGACTTGGAGGTACACACCTTCTTACACCTGTTCTCTGTCACCTGAGAGAGAGAGAGAGAGAGAGAGAGAGAGAGATTTTGAAAAAAAAAAGTGCATCAAGAAATACCCTCAGACCCTCAGGTCTTCTAATGATGTCTGTAATTTTTATTTAATTTCTATTAAATAATAATGACCATGGTTGTATTTAAACTGTAGTAAAACTCTTATTTCATTGTTCATTTTTGATTGTAAACTAAAAGGCTTACATTTTTGAAATGGCAAATAGAAATTAGCCAATCAGGATTGTTTTCTCTGTGGTATCTAGACAGATACAGCCAAGTTGCTCTCCCATTGGTTAGGACTTTAGGAGCTGGACTGAAGGCCTTACATGTTAGATTAACTACCAGCATTATAACAAAGTGACAGAGTAATCAATCACACTTTAATGTACAATGTGCACTTTTATGAGAATAAACATCATTCTAGTCCTCCTGGAAGTTCTAGATACGCCACTGACTGTATTAGTTGTAGACTAAGCAGGTTGGGTTAGTCGTTAGGAATGGAAAACAGCAGCGGCAGCTCTGTGCCAGGACTCTTGTATATATGTTGAAGTCTGTTAGGAGCTTCAAATTCCCTTGAATAATCCAACACAACCAGCTTAGCTTTAACATACTATGCAGGTACGCAGACTTGGATTTTTCAGTACAGAATATAAATGTATGTAATTATGTAAATTTACATAATATAGCGAAATAGCAACAATAGCTTAATATTTTTAGGGTATAATTCTGTTAATTGATGTACTTCAGTGTTTGTAAATAGGACTAATAAGCAGTTGACAGTAGGCAGACACGAAGTTGGCCTGGTGGTTGAGCTGGTATTTGACACTGAATTTGTTCCTGCATGCAATCCATTCTGCAATGTGTATAAAAGTATTTTTACTTACAAAATCAACAAAATATATAATTTGATCATGGATGCTTAAACTCTAACAGCAGACGTGTGTTTATTTTTACCAGTAAAAACAATATATGACATTAAAATAGATGCAAAAAAAATACAGCAAAAAATTTGCAGGAATGTCTTGCTTTCAAAAAAGTGGTTAGAAGAACACAGGTTTGGTTCCAGATTTCTCCTGGATGCCTCCGAACCTCACATGGATTTGTACAATTCCATCACCAGCTTTCTTAAATTAATATATAGTATTGATTATATACATCAAGTATTGGACAATAAATACAAATTATACTGGGCTTCCTCGATGAGAGGGCAGGTTAAACGAACTCGCTGACTTACATAAAATCACTACTTACTGTAAAAATGTTATTTGCATTTATGCTAATTTTAGTGTTTTTCTGAGCAAATAAATGCTTACTGTGTTTAACTTCCTCACGTCCCGACAGAGTGGAGATGACTTGTTTTAAACACAGACTATACAGCTGTAAGCCTCGCTGCACATTCTATAATACAGCATGTACATTACTGTATATTACTGTATATTATTTAGAAAGGAAATACATGCTTGGCATACAGAATATGGAATCATGTCTGTTCTATTTACGCCATTTCAAACTGCGCCGTTCTGCTGCGCTGCATTGCTTAAACACAGACTGCCTCGAGGCGCCGCGAGAATTACTGTGGACAAAGAATAAAGCTCTGGGGAGAAAAAAAAAGGTCACTGCTAGAGATGATTTAACCCTTAAAGTCACAGCTATCGCTGGTGGTCACAAAAGCATGGTGTAATTCGATATGAATTATTTCTGACTCATCGCTCACTAAAACAAGTGAAGAAACTGAGTGGAAAGTGCAGATTCTAAACTTCCAATCCAGCTAAGATTAGTGTTTGAAAGTTGAGGAAATATTTTATTATGGTTTGAATTTGATTAAAAAATTTTTGATAAGGAAACAAATGAAATTCGGAGTACAGGACTCCAACCTGTAGATGCAGGTTAAACATAATTCATTACAGAAATAATGATATAATTTGCTTTTAAACAGTACAAAAAAAACAACAGTAATTACTTTGGACTTCTAAGGGTTAATCTAGGTGGATGTGCTGGTTAGTAAACAGCCAATTTTGTTCATTTTCTGGAAACAGCTGCAGATGCCTTTCCCTCCTGTGCCGTATATTTATCTAGAGTAGAGGGTTTGAGCTGGATTTTGAGCCATGTTGGAAACGCAGTGCGTCTTGGAGCCTCCCTCTGGGGTTAATTTAAGGCTTATAATAGAGTCGTATAGAGCGCATTACTCAGCTCATTTCTCCTGTCTGTCATTCTGCTCCTGCTACCCTCCGCCACTGTGGCTGCATTTCTCCAGACATAACACACTAACACGCTGCATCTTTAGCACAATAACCCTGTCTGAGGTGATGATGTACACTGTACACTTGGAGAGCAGTGAGGAACACAGTGTTGTTTTGGGCTTTTTAAATAGACATAAATCTTTTTCACATTAGAGGTACTGAAATGTATGCAACTAATCGTTATTAATGCAGTTAATTATTATTACTTGTCATATCCATCAGGTAAGTAAATAAAAAAAATGTCTTTTTTTAATTCAAATTCTTGCTTTGGTTCCTAAGACATCTTAAATATGTGTTGATGTAACTGACTGACATATCTAAGTTATGTAAATTCACTGTTGGTTCGCCTATATATCATTGTTATCTAACATACATATCACTGTTACCTAGCCAATACATCTTTTTTAGCTAGCCCACACTGCCTTAAGCTAAGCTACATATCAGCATTAGCTACTACCATTGGCTAGCCAACCCATCACTTTTAACAAGGCTACATTCGCTAAGCTACACATCAGCATTGGCTACCACTATTGGCTAGCCAACACATCACTTTTAACTAGCCTATATTTGCCAAGCTACACATCAGCATTAGCTATCAGCATTAGCTAGCCAACACATCACCTTCAGTTAGCCTATATATCACTGTTAGCTAAGCCACACATCAGCGTTAGCTAGCCTACATATCAGACAATGTGTCAGGTAAGCTACACATTAGCATTATCTAGTGTACATATCAGCATTAGCAAGCCTACAATCTTGGCCTACAAAGCCTACAAAGAACTGCTAACCTACAATCACTGGGCCTCATTAACCAGTATCTTCCTAAGTTTGTTCTTAAATGTTCTTGAGTAAAGTCCTAAGAAAAAGTCTAGATCAGATTCATGACATGTTCTTAAACCACAGAACTGTTCACACATTTGTGCAGATTCTGTACTTGCCTAAGAACAAATCCCAAATAAGAAAACAGAGGTAAATGTGAGAAAAACTGCATAAGTGTACAGAATACTAAACATCTTCTGACCCACCATTGCTCTCCACACAGCAGTTGTGAATCCAAACATTTATGGATCACTTTAATCATGATAGATGATGCCTTGTTAAGGTAAGAATAGCACATCTATGATGTGTTTAATCTTCACTTTTAGGGCCAGCTGCAGAGAAATCTCTGTCCAGTTTGTTTATCTGTTACTGTTGAATATCCATGCAGGACATTCAGCATCAGCTGAACTGTGATTCATCAAACACATAACAGGATGACAGAACACCGTCTTTAACTCTAAAAATATTCACGCTCTTTACCGGGTCTGTCATATTCTCCCCGTATCCTTCAGTCTGCACTGATTGTCAGGAATCATGAGCTTTGTTTAAACGTGTCTTAAAATAGGCAGCTGAAGTGGATGATACACTATTACAGTATAACTCTGCCATCCGGAACAGCCTGTGTGACACGTGAATGTTGTATAAAAGTTTCAGGCAAATGAGATTACTAAAAAAACTGCAAATAAGAGCGAAGTGAATGTGAGCAGACTAGACTTGGTGATATATAAAATATGGACAAAAAGATGGCTGCTACTACAGTTTGTAGCTTTGCAGGACACTTTTGTCCATGTTTATAGACAACAGTGTGTCACACAGTGTCAGAAACCACATAATCAAATGGACGTAATTCAGGTGATGAAGCAATGTAACCACACAACGACGATTACTGACAAGAACCCAGTGACGATGCTTCCGAGGCAATATTCACTGTTTTGAAAGAGAACTGATAGAAAACTAATAAGAGAGAGGACTAAATTAATTTTGAAAAGCTTGCCAAATAATATTAGGTAATATGTACATGTAATTTTTTGCACTTCATTTTAATAAGCTATAAGGCTGCAGTAGAGCAGATCCCCCACTGCAGGTTTCCCGGAGTGTGACACACCATATGAGAAAAATTAAAAGCTAAATTTAAGAGCACCTCTGCTATAAAAACAGAAAAGACACTTTTTTTTAACATGGACATGATTTTGGACCTCATGTTTAGCAGTCTTAAGTTTCTACACAAAGCGGGGTTCTACACATAAATGTATTGGTCATTTGAAGAAAAGGCCTTGAACCCCCACCAGCAGTAGCTCACGAATGCACATTTGCAGTCATTTCAAAACAAGACGTGGAATAATTTATTACCAAAAGATGTAAATTTGTCAAGTCTGTATTACATTGTTTAATATGCAATTTTCATGAAATCTGTTAATGCTAAACAGCATTTAAGCTAAAGATAGCATAGAAGCTGCAGCAGACCATGTGTGTCTAATAATCAATATTTTATATTTCAACTTTTTAGCAAGAAATAATTGTGCTAATTATTTTTAAATATTGCCCAGCGCTAATACCTAAGCTATCATTACTTGTTAGTAGTTAGTAGGGATACCCTGAAATTTTGGCTACACTTCAGCTAAAAGAGAAAAAGAAAAATAAAAAATAAAAAATAAAAAAAAAGATCTATGAAGTGTCAAAATCTAATACCAAATAGTCTGAATGGTAATGAAAATGAGTGTTTCAAATAGTGATTAAAATGGTTTAAAAATGCTGATTTTTTCTTGGCTCTACTGCACTGTAGAACTCAATCAGTGTGATCAGACCAGCAGTGCAACACAAATACAGCCTTTTAGCATCAACTGATTTAATGAAATTCCATGGAATCACATAAACAATACTGAACATCTTTTGGTAATAAATTTTTGTACTTTCACTTTTGAAAGTTGTTACTACTTGTTAGCTACATTAACCTCGTTGCTCCAGTGAAGCAAAGAAACAAACAACCACCAAATCTGTATTGGCGGATCAACTGCATTTGGTGTAAACAACTCTTTTACATAAAGAAAAAAACTGATAATAACAGCAAAGTTAGCATACCAGCATTAAAGCATAGCAGCTACCCTTTGTGCATCTGACCTGTAGTGTACTGACATGCAGTGGGGTGCCGCCGGTGCCGTTCAGGCTGTTTATCTTGGATGGAGTCTTCCCCTCCGCCTTCTCTCTGCTGGCCATCCTGGCTTTCTCGGCCTCCACAAGCTTGGGGCTGTTGAGCATCACCTGAACCACAGCGTACTCCACCAGCGAGGCGAAGCCAAATAGCAGGCAGGCGATCAGCCAGATATCAATGGCCTTCACATAGGACACTTTGGGCAGCTCGGAGGCCAGAGATGTGCACTCAGAGGAGAGAGAGAGCACAGAGAGAATCCCTGCGGGAGAGAGAGAGAGAGAGAGAGAGGCTTTTACACTAACTGCCCTGAGTCTAGACAAACCACTCACTCTGACAAGCTAGTAGCAGAAAAATCAAATTTACACAATTTTCTGCTTTTGCCCAGATGTAGTTGAGACGTGTTTGGTGTCTAAAGTTTGCTTCTTTAGTTTTGCACGGCTACAACAGCTAACAAGCTTATGTGCACCAATTAGCATCTCACCAACTGCATGCCTTCAGTGATTTCAGCTTATGTTAACATGCTGACACTGCATCTGACTTTTGTCCATGCAGTTTGCATAATGCTAACTGGTGGGGTATAAGCTTGTTAGCCACATTAGTCTTGTTGCTCCAGTGCAAACTAAAGATGCAAGACACCAAACATGTCTTAGTAATAAAAAATGGAGTAGATTTTTGTCCTGATTATTCCTTTAATAGAGTATTTCAGTATATAACATTATGTGGCCTTAACATTGGCTACCAACTTACTGCACAAGCGTACTACTACAGCTAGCCAAATATTAGGACAGTTAGCACTTCCTGTGTAAGCACTCTCATAATAAGACAAGTCTTGCTGGAAAAACCACAGTTCACCCTGTTACACATGTGCGAAAGTATTGTTTACTGTTACAACTATTATAACAACAGACTATAATAATATTATAACTATATATCAGGGGTCAGCCACCCAAATGTTAAGAAGAGCCATTTTGTTCTTTTAAGCAAAAATCAAACCACCTTGGGAGCCATGACATTTTATGTCCATTTTACCATCTTGGCTGTAAATATGTCTCAGTATGTGCTAATGTGGTAGTACAGGGTAAAAAATATAAATGAAATCACAGACTTTCTTTGCTCTGCTTTAAGCTGTAGCTCAGCTATAGCTGCTTTTCTAGCATCTCCGACAGTTTCTTGTAAAATGTCTCCTAATGTTTGGAGCTGACTTCAGCCTCATGACTTTTTAGTGTTTGACAGTTTCTCGTTGCAGATTAAACATATCAGGAAACCAGCTGTAGTGCTTATAAATGCAAATAAGTCTATTCATCTACAAATTATTGATGTTCATCTTAAATCCTTCTCTTTGCCTTTTCGTTAGATACTAGCTAGTCTATGTTGCTATGTAACCAGCAGTCTGCGCACCAAACTTCATAGTTAAAGAGTGAATTAGCAGATATAAATTAACTCCAGTGTTTAAAGCTGTTTATTGTTAAGACTCTGTTAGAATGATCAGCAGACCTTTATTTTACTGAAAAGGAAGAAAATTTTATTTTACCTAATAATCTAATTCCGCTGTGGAGCTGCAATAGCGCAGTAAAAGAGCCACATGTTAAGTGACCCTTATTAGTCCCACAACAGGGAAATTTCACCTCCGCTTTCGTGCAGTGAAACACCACATACACACTAGTGAGCACACACACACTAGGAGGCAGTGAACAGTCCTATCCACAGCACCCGGGGAGCAGTTGGGGGTTAGGTGCCTTGCTCAAGGGCACTTCAGTCATGTACTGTCGACTCAGGGGACAAAACCGGCGACCTTCCGATCACAAGACTGGTTCCCTAACCTCCAGCCCATGACTGCCAAATGTTGCTGACCCCTGCCCTGTATCATATATACTTCAACACTATTATATAATACGATCAGCTACCCAAACTGTAGCTGAAAGCCTCTGCATTACTATGCTGCATAAAGCCTGCTGGTGTAACGTACGCAGGACAGAATGTATCAGCTTTACATGGTGCAATAATAGCAAATTTAAAAAAAAAAAAAAAATTATTTTTCCCCATAAAGAAAAACAGTTTAAGCCCAGAACTTGTCCAAATGCTAAAGGCAGACTACAAAATGACAACACAATCTCATAAACAGGACGCACAATGATGCACACAGATACAAAACAACACTAATGGATGACTAACCTGACAGTATGGACCTAAGGCCATGCACAGGTGCATTATGGGATGGCCAGCAGGATCTGTTTGTCTGACACCAGCAGGAGGCAGACAAAATGGTGGTTTCAGAATGGAGGTGACAAAATGGTTCAGGTAATTGGTGTCCATGGTGAGATCACACAACCTGCTGCGATTCACACACACAAACACACACATACGCACACAGGGTTTTACGTGATGTGTTTCTGAGGTCAGACTGAACCTTGCAAACCTTGAAGGTGTTAAATGAGCGCAAAAGTGCTAAAAGTACCAGTCAAAAGTTTAGACGCCCACTTACAGAGGTGTTTTTCTTTATTTTCACTATGCAGGGTTCAACATCAAACTGCTCATATGAAGGAAAACGAAATCTGCATCACTTTTTTAAAAAGAATGCAATGCATAAACACTGTTAAAGCTTCAAAACCTCATTCATTCTCCAGTCCATAGATTCTGAGTTGTGAAGTGATGAAAAAGAACATATTGCTATAATCCACCTATTTAGTCTACAGCAGTTTAGGCCCACCCATTCACGCTGTTATAAGGAGTGTTACAGCCTGGACTGCTCTTACAAAGATGCACAAAGCAGGGCAGCCAATCAGAACAGAGCTCATTTACATACAGCAGTCTTAAAGGCATAGTAATAAGAACTGGTACATAAATCTGAAGTCTACTTCAGAGAAACAGTAAAATACAAAAAAAAATGTACAATATGGGTCCCTGATGTTTTGATGTTTTCGAAGATAATCAATTCAGGGACAGCTGACAACTGGCTGTGCAAGTACAAAATGCCTGACACTGTAGGAAAACATTATATAATACAGTTGTGGGTCGAGTTAAAAGGGAACCGATTTTGCAAAAGCCCACAGCCACACGGTTTCACATTTAAAATATACACTTCAGTTTTGGAAATAAATTCATACATAAGCAGGAACCTCTGAGATTTGTTTTAGAAAAAAAATTTCAATTGTGCAAATAAGTCTTTAGAACAAAATGTCTTTAAGATCATGAATAACATGTTTAATCAGGTTCAAACTTTGACTGGCACTGTAGTTGAAGATGTAGTGAGCTTCTGGAAGCCCTATGTGAGATGAGATGTGATGCAGATAAACGAGATAAATGAAGGACACAGATATGTGAGATGGATTTTGGATGCATATCCTGTTAGGAGATGAGGCTGGAGTTTTCAGGTCATACCCAGAGGCACTCGAGCGGCGCTGGCGTCTGGGTTTATCCAGAAGGAGAGCCAAGACAGCACCACGATGAGCAGCGTGGGAGCGTACACTCCCATCATGTAGAAACCCACCTGCCTCCTCAGCGTGAAAATCACCTCCACACAGGTGTAATAACCTAAAAAACATCAGTTCAGAGGTTTAGGTCAACCACGTGTTGTCTGAAAATGGAAAAAGAGACATTTTATTATGATTTCAGTTTAATGAAAATATATGTATTTATTTTGCAGACAGAATAAAAATTATTCATGGTTTTGTCACATTGTTGTCATCTACAGGTCAGAAGTGATTTAAACCTAGAATGCAAATCATAATAAATCTTTTTTTAATTGTTTCATTTTGCTGGAAAAAATCTCACAGTAATAAAAGTAAAACACTGGAAAGATAAAAATACTACTGTCTAAATGAAAAACACATTACAAACAGGAGAAAATGAGCCATTTCTCTGAAATAATGTTCCAGAGTTCTGTCGCTGTAAAAGAAACTGGGGTCGGATTCATGAAAGCTTTCTTAAGAAAAAAATTGCAAAGGTTCTTAAGACAAACACTCAGAAGTTGATGAGAATGGGCCTCATTCTCCAATATCTTTCTAACTTTATTCTTAAATGTGTTCTTGAGAAAGGTCCTAAGAAAAAGTCTAAGTCAGATTCATGATGTGTTCTTAAAGCACTGAACTGTTTAACTGTAAAAAATAGTATCTTGTCAAGTAAAATGATCTATCCAATACTTCTCCTGTTAAGACTGTTGTAAGCTTAATTTAAGATTATTTAACTTATTTCCAAACATTTTTACTTGTGTTACTTTAAATGATTTTATTAAGGAAAATTATCTCACTATACTGGCAGATAATTTAGCTTGAAACCAGCAAACTAATCTGCCAGTGTAGTGAGATAATTTTACTTAATAAAATTACTTTAAACAGTAAATAATAATAATAATAAGCTAAATAATCTTATAAGTGCACAACCATCTCAAAATAAGAAATATTAGACATTTTGACTAGAATTAAAATTATTTCACTTGACAAGATGCTATTTTTTGTAGTGCACACCTTTTTGCTCTTGAGTATGTGTTAATTCTGTTCTTACTTAAGAACAAATCCCAAATAAGAAAACACTGATGAATGTAAGAATCTTCGTAAAAGTGGCTTTTATGAAGAAATTACAAAGAACGGTGGGTGAATGAGGCCTATTGTTCTTCAAGGCAATTCTTGAAAAAAAATAAGAAAATATTCTCTCAAAATAATCGAACTATTTTCTTAAGATTTTCTTAAGAAAACCTTCATTGTTTTCTTATGTATGCCATGATGCATTTTACCACGTACTATAAATGATGCGAGATACAGTTTGAATTTGTATTCATTGTTATTCTGGTAATTCGCTCAAAGAAAAATGGAGGGAAAACATCAAACCAAGAGTTTAAAAAAAAAGCCAACAAGAACTAGAGGTGATGGTGGAAGAAACAGCCAAGAGGTTTGTTGGTTAACTGTGGATTAGGGACAAGGATGAGCAGGAGCAGCAGAGGCAGTGTCCGTGATAAATTTAGATGCTTACCTCGTCGACTCTTACAGCCTAAGACAAGTGTGAGGCTATTGTAAGGTTAAAAAGCTTTTAAGAACATAATATTTTTAAGAATCACTTGTGCTTAGAACTATTGTTAAAGTTAAGAAAGAAAATGCGAGAATTTTTAAAAAGTTATTTGAAGAATAACCTTTTCTCATAACTTTTTTCTTAAGAATAAAGTTAGGAAAAAACACACACTTAAGATTTTCTTTCTTGAATCTGAGCCTTGATCTTCCACCAACTGAGCTGCAAGACATCTTAAATGTCTGTCTCAGTCGAGTGAAGTGGTCTGGAGGGGCTATAACTCTTCAACAGGTCAGTAAGATAATCTCAGCTTGCATCAGTTAAAATAAAATATGTGGAAAAAAATGCAGGTTTTTTTTTTTAAATCCAAAGTTATTATATGATTAAAATTAAATGAAAATTGATTAAAAGATGAGAGAAATTAGGACTCCTAACAACCATGCAAGTCCAGGTAGCTGTCAATGAGCCATTACTGAGAAAAGAATATTAGAAGAGCAAAAGTTTGATAAGCCTACATTTGTAATTGGGATTATTTGGGTTAGAAAAAGCAGAAAATGTTAACCCTTTAAAATCTCAGGCTTATTACATAATTCTCATTATTCAGTAACTGCAGAGACTTCACTGTAAACTGGCTGAGCTATTCTTAGGTTTTAGAAGTGTATAATAAACCTTTGGGCCTTCCTTGTGCCCTGGCCATTTAAGAAGTTAAATCAACTTCTAAGACTGAACTTTGGAGGTGTGTCGGCAGATTTCTTTGAAAAACTGAAAGTGAGTCTCCTGAAAAGAATGGGGGCTGTAATAAAGGTAAAGTGTGGACACACTACAAACTGAAAAATGTAAAAAAAAGGCAAATTTTCAGTATTTTTGTTAAATAGATGTTTTTTGTACTTAATGGCCATTTTGACTTGAAACAAATAAATGAGGATCTCGTACAGTATAACTATATAAGTATAGATAAATTGTATAGAAACAAAAATAAGACTTCTGTGAAACATCAGCTCAAAGATTTTTTCTTTACCTGTACAGTCAGATCAAAATGATAATGAGGAAAAGTGCGACAACAAAGAAGATAAGGTAACTTACTTTGCTGTTGGCACTGACGAATGGAGAATGAATGGACGTTACTTTTCATTACTTTCACAAAAGACTCATGATTCTTTTAGTCTCATAATAGAAAAAACAACATATTTTTGACAAAGAGATATTGGTATTGATTTCACTGATTCTGTCTCTGCCTGAACAGCCCACACATGCACATGGATTTTCCCAAAGAAAGGAACTTATCATTATCACACTCCACCATGCCATGCTACATTTACTCCTTTACGCCTCTTTCAGACAGAAAAGAGGCTCTGCTTTTTAGGACCCGTAGATAAAAGAAAAGCATTATGGGTAAAATAGCTGCCGGTGCTCTTCTTTCTTTGTCTTTAATTGGTTATATGAATAGGTCCTCAATCTCTTCTCGAACGCTTCAGGCTTCAGTGTTAATTCCTTCACCGCCAGCAGCTCATCTCAAATTCACAGACTCTCACACTTTACTGTGTCTGTTCTGAGACCAGAGACAAACAGCTAAGGGTGAAATATGCCTGCTGTGTGGTTACATACTGCTGCTATAAGGCAGATAGTTCCGGTTAAAATCGGACGAGGTGAGCATTGTTATATTATATATATATATATATACTTGCTGACCTCAGGCATGGTGACCTTACACTGTTATCGTGTAGCAATGCACCGATATTCTATTTTCATGTCGACGTCATGTTTTTCATTTACGTATCTGCCAATGCCAATACATCTTATAAAAAGATATAAATAAATAATAAATTGGATACAGACATGATTCATCATTGTGCATGCCTGAAAAAGGGTTTAGTACATTTCTTTCTGTTTCAGATATTCAAACAAAATAAATAAACTAGAAATAGACAAAAACAACCAGAGTAAACATGGAGCACAGTTTTTAAATTATCATGTATCTTATTGTAGGAAAAAAGTTTTCCAACACCAACTGGCCATGTGAGAAATTGCTCTCTTAGTTACTCAATCAACCAGTTAACGGAATTTAGTGGATTACTTGCACAGTGACGACTCATCCAGGAAGTTACAAAAGAACACAGATGAACATTTAAGGAACTGCAGGCCTCACTCGCCTCAGATAAGGTCAGCATTCATGATTCATCCCTTAGAAAGAGACTGGGTGAAAAATATTGCCAACAAAGAGGAACATAAAGTCTCATCATTTGCCAAAAAACAGTCTGATAACTCCCAAGCCTTTTAGAATAATGTTCTGTGGACTGAAGAGACAAAATTGGAACTTTTTGGAGCACAAGGGTCCCATTACATCTGCCAACAGTGAAGTATGGTGGTGGTAGTGTGATGGTGTGGGGATGCTTTGCTGCTTCAGAAACACAGCAGCAAGTCTAGCTCTGAATGTCTGAAAAGAAATAAACTGAAAATTCTGGAGTGGTCTAGTCAAAATCCTGACTTGTGGCAGGATCTTAAATGGACAGTATGTTTTTTTTTTGTTTTTTTTTGACTGCTGACTGCACTTTGAACTAATTTTGTAAGATGGTATAAATAGAATAGAAAAAAAAACTCAACTTCTAAACCTTGACTAGCTTTTAATGAGATATTGATTAAATTCACTATTACTTTTCCTATTACCAAACCTAACCTTAACCTCAACCCAAACCTAAATCTAACCCTAAACCGAGAACTGTTAGTAATAGTTTTTTTTTCCAGATTATGTAATAAAATATATTGAATTGTAATTGTATTTAGATCATTTTTAGATAAGACATAGGAATCATGAAAATAAAAAAATAAATAAATAAAAATGGCCTAAACCATTACATGACAAGTTTAATATTCCTTACCTGTGCCTGCATAGTATTTGGTACAATTTCCATATTCAATATCCTCCTGTCTGATATCAAACTGAGGCAGAGCAATTTCATCCATCTGCACAGGATCTCCAGACTGCCACATGAACTGCAGATCGTCTGTGGTGTAGCCAACTGTACACAAACACACAAACGTGCATTTAAAACCTGCACATTAAAAAGAATATCACCAAATACACTCATATGCTAAGAGGTGCTCATAACAGCTGAGGTGTTCCCAAGGTGTTGAAGTTGCTAATTTATTGAGTTTTTACAGTCTGACAGTAATAATTGTGGAGTGATTTTAATCCAGTATGAACTGTCAGACTAACAGAATAACAAAAATCTTTAAGAGACACCATTTGGCATGTTGTTATTGTTATTGAGTGTGTCTATTAGCACAGCGTTGACATGAACATCTGGGCTATGATGTTTCAAACTGGGCTATCAGTGGAAAATGACACAGACCCTTTATACTGAACCAATCAGCCATTCTGATACCACACATCACATTACAGAATCTGCTCTGGAAAAACAATCCAGTTGCATATAACATAGGAAACCCATGGGAAAGGTTCTCAGTCAGTCTCTCTGTACACATCCTTGTTTATTTCAGGCTGGTTTTAATATTCACATACAGCTCTCCAGCTGCATCTTGCATCTCTGGGTGTCCATGGGGAAGAGGGTCAGGTCCAATGGACAGGAGAGAGTGACCGACAACCTGCGGACACAAAACAAGAGAAGACAAAACAAGAATTGATTAGTGAAGACTTTGTTATCCATGTGTAAATAACCTATGCACCATCAAATGTTCTCAGACAATTTTCCATCTTTGGACATTTCCAGCACAATATTTGATTTTCTCAGTAAATGTTTGAATCATGTATAGCTACGGCTACAATTTCCTCATCTTTTTTTACAGTTTCTAAAAGTTAAATCTGTTTGAAAACATCTCCTAGAGTTAAAACTTTTATTTTAGTGACCAAACAAGTCTTTTGTCAAGTACAAGGACTAAGGCAAAATGCACTCTTAAAACAACCAACAAAAAAATATGATCCCATTTAAATATGATGTGATCTACATAACTAGAAGACCAAAAATGTCTGGTGAAGTTTTCACATGTTTAGATATCTAACACAGTTAGCTCAATATCAGTCACTAGTTTCTTTGGCCTTTGTTTTCAATGACATTTTGCTATTGACTGATGAGGTCACTTTAAAGTTCATCCTTGTTACCCAAATCATAGACCAAAAGTAAATTCACTTAAAAATATCTTATAAGCAAATCAATAGAACATTGTTAATGTCCTCATATCATTAGCATGGGTGCTGGTTTTGTGTATTTGCTCATTTTATGCTAAAAACTCATTCAAGCCACTGTCAGTAAGTGTTGCTCCTGAGATACGTTTAACAAATTTTTGAATGATTTCCTAGATTCAGTGTTGAAAAATGATAAAAAACAATAGGTTTAATTTTTAAGAGTTAGCAGAAAGAAATGGCAGATCAGTCGAGGAATCACCCAGTTACCTGCTTCAGTGCTGACAGAAATTAAATCTGCATTTTTGGCTATAATGGCTATTTGGCTCTCAAAGAATGTTAACATTTGTTATGCTCAGTTTTTCAGGGACTAATTTTAAAGGGTTTGGCTAGGTTCTTCTGTATGGTGGTTTAGCAGAGCTGGTTTATAAAGGAGCCTGGCCACTTCCTATTTCCCCCTTTATATCAAAAACATGATTGCAAAACGCCAGAAGGCACCCCAAGCGAATCCTCAATGAATGAGAGTGAATAGAGCTAAATGGCTAAAAATGAAAAGTTGAAATATTTTCTAATCACTTTAATTTTAGAAAGCAGAAGGATGTATTTCACTAAAAAAAGCTAAGAAAACTGACCTGTATGTTTCTTTTTTTATTCTACAGCAAACAGGTTTTGGGCAGCAGGACGCTAACATTACAGCTAATGAGTGCTGATTGGTTGGCGAGCGGAGCAGCTCATTGGCTGTTCGTGCTCACAGATGTCATGGATTTACATGAGCTGCCATTTTAAACTCTTATAATGCGAGTTTAAAAGCTCTTAAAAAATATAAGAGCTGTGTTAAAATGTTCTATGCTGTTCTGTGTTCAGCAAATAATTGTACTATTTCAAATTTCAGAGCTGGGGATTAGAAGATATACATTTTGATAATATATAATTCAGAATACTATAATTTAGAAATAATTTATATAATATAATATCAGTTATCAATAATGGTTTACATATGGTTTATAATTTGAGTATAAACTATGAAACCTTATATGTCTCAGAATTTGTTCATCTGTGTTTGGTCCATTCCAGAAAAGAATATTTCTACATTCAGCGGTCAAAAGTATCTCAAGACACTGACTGTCAGGATATGAAAGGTGATTGAAGTGCATGAGAGTTTTGCTATTTTAGAAGTGAAATCTTTGATCCTCTATATGAAAACTGAACTGAGCCCAGATAGAACTGATGAAATGTGAACAGGCCCCATTGTGTATCGGGTTCAAATACTCCAACAGTCAACAGCTAAAACGCTGATTATGGGGGGGCAGCTCTCCTGCAGTCTGTATAAATACTGCACCATGTAATGATTCATGTCTGAGCTGAATGCTCTCCTGATCACGACGCTGTAATCTTCCAGGTCGCACCTCTCGAGAGCGCTTCCAAATTTCACTGATTGCAGACAGTGTGCCGACATAAAACATCGCTCAACTCTGGGATAAATTCTTAATGCGCCCCTTCCTCTCTGCGCACCGTGCACCATGTTTATTTAAAGCTCCGCATTTGCACATGAAAGACTTTCGGTTCTCTCCTGTCACACGACAAGCGCAGTCACTGATACAGCGTGGGGGCGCTTCACCGTCACATGGCCACTTTAAAGCAAACGACAAGATGGGAAATGACGATGAAAAGTGATGATAAAAGCACTGAGAAACAGCAATTATGGGGATTTTTCATAAGTTACTGAGTTACAGGATACACAGACTGTGTTCTGCTTTACCAAATATATCCTCTATCTAAAGGCAGTACTTTTGCAAGGGCTTCATCTTCCAGCTCATAGTAATTTACAGATTACTGTTGAGTCTAAACGGCACCTGAGTTTTTAATATTGTCATTTATAAACATTATAGTGCAAGAAATTAAATCTACTTAGATTTGATCACACGACTTACTGTACAGGTATTTTGTTGCATTATTGAGTTTGACAGGTGTAAAAAAAATCAGTTGTCATGGAAACAAAGCCTTGGACCTTGACATCTGTGAATTCAAAGAGAATGACTGTGTAGGAAGAGAGAGAGAAAGGGGGGACAGAGAGAGCATGAGAGAGAAGGGACAAATATATATATATATATATATATATATATATATATATATATATATATATATACACATACATACATAAATACATACAAACACACATAAAAACATATGTACATACATACCATAACACACACACACACACAACACACACATATATATATATATATATATATATATATATAGAGAGAGAGAGAGAGAGAGAGAGAGAGAGAGACAGAGAATGAGAAAGAGGGGGAAAGAGAGAGAAAGAAAGAAAAAAAAACAAGAAGAAGGAAAAAGAAAACGAAAAATAGACAAAAGAGAGAAAAAGAACTGGAGAGAGAAATAGAAGGCTAAAAAGACATGGATAAAGGAAAGAGAAAGAGACAGAAAAAAGAAAAAGAGTGTGGGGGCATGGGAAAAGTGAGAGAGAGAAAGAAGGATAGAACGATATGGGAGGGAAAGAGAGAGAAAGCATCAGAAAATAGACAGGAGACAGAGCGAGAGATGGGCAGAAGAGAGCAGAGAAAAAGGAAGGATGGTAAGAAGGAGTGGAAGAAGGTCAGGGAGGGTTGATGTGGGGGAGGTGCTGGGAGAGCAGGAGAGATAAACATTCTCTTTTCTCTTTTAGGAACTCTCATTAGAACTCTAATCCCTCCTCAGAACTGACCGTCCTGGGACGACGCCAGCAGGTTCTGAGGCACAGAGGAAGACCACCCAGCTCACGGCCAAATCCGGGTGGCATGAAACAGCAGTGTGGAAACAGGCATGACCCAGACATAACAGAGCACAGCGGAGATGCTCTTAAACACACTGCCTGTGAGACGATTCAGGCTTTATCTGCTCCTTCACATCAGCCCTGAGCTTTTAACACAAACCCTTCCACGCTTTCACTCCGTGTCCTAACGTTCTGCACCGACATAGTAAATCTCGCTATGTTGATAAACGTGTATTAACTCTGAAAAGGTGACGAAGAGCAGGAGGCTCAGGATCTGGAAAGTTGTAGTTTTGCGTATGCGATGATTCATTACTCATTCGGCTCACTCATCACAGCGTGCAGATAAATTAGCGATGCTACATAGGAGGGGGCGGCAACATGTGGCTCTGGAGTCGCATGCAGCTCTTTTACTGTCCAGTTGCTCCACAGCAGAGTTAGATTTTTAAAATATAAAATAATCCTCCTTTGCAGTAATAATAAATGGTCTTACATGTTGGAGTTAACGTATAACTGCTTATTCGCCCTTTAATGCTGAAGGTTGGCATGCAGACTGCTGGTCACCTAGAAACGCAGACAATCTCGCCTAGCTAGCAGCTAACAAAACGGCAAAGATTTAAGATGAACATCAATAATTTGGAGATGAATGAACAGACGTATTTGCATTTATAAGCACTCCAGCTGGTTTCCTGATAGGTTTAAACTGCAACAAGAAACTGTCAAAACACTAAAAAGTTGCGAAGATAAAGTCAGCTTCTTGTTCAAATTCTCCCATTCCACCTTAAATTGTGTCACAGTTACATTCTGGCACCTCAGGCACCATTTAAGATGGAACGAGAAAGTTAGAACAAGAAGCTGGCAAATGAGAAGCTGACTTCAGCCTCGTAAAAATCAAGTACACGTTAAGAGACATTTTACAAGAAACTGTCATTAAAAATTAATTAACTGTCAGAAAAATCTATTAATTTTTTTGAGGAACATTTTCCTGCCGGAGATGCGAGAAAAGTGGCTATAGCTGAGCTAAAGCTTAATTCAGAGCAAAGCAAGTCTGCATTTTCGTTTATATGACATTTTTAGCCTATACTAGTACATTAAGACATATTGAGACTTATTTACAGCCAAGATGGTAAAATCGACAAAATGTTGTGGCTCCTAAGGAGGGTTGATTTTTGCTGAAACAAAAAAAATGTCTCTTCTTAACACCCCTGGTATAAAGGAAGGGGGAGGTTAAAGTGATAGCTCAGAAAAAATTCCCAAATGAAAATACTAAAACATTTGGTGTCTGAATTTTGCATCTAGCTTTGCTCTAGAGGCTGACATAGCTAACAAGTAATAGAAGTTTGTGTGTAGCAATTTGCTGGGTGCTAACTGCACAACAAAATCATCACACATGTGGCTCATACCGTCTTGAAATACTGAACTGTGTCTCAAATAGACTTGCTTACGTCGTTTTTTGAATTTCTACTTAATTTCTCTGCAATCTAGTCATGGCTACATACTTAAAAATGATAGTTCCTCAAGGAAATGGTCCAATATAGCACCATGAACAGTAAAATAACCCTTTGCATGTTTAAAGAATGGAGAAGGTGTTGTATATGGTGGATTGGTATAGTGTAGTGGGTAACACCTTTGCCTTCTACGCTGTAGACTGGGGTTCAATCCCCTACCAAGCACCCTGTACTATACCAATAAGAGTCCTTGGGCAAGACTCCTAACACTACTGTTGCCTAACTGTGTAAAATGACCAAATTTTCTATTGCAAGTTAATATTTTTTCCTTCTCCTGTAAAGTTGCCATTTTGGTTTTGTCCTGCTAGCGGCGATATGTATATACAATTTTTACACAAAACAAAAATGCCTGTATTCTAAAATCTAAGACCACGTAAATTCAAATTCAAGACAAATAAATACTTTTTATACTTTTAATTTGTAATTTCAGACAAATGAAGACTTTTACTGAAGTCTGTATTGAGCTCCTGTGCGAAACTAAAGAAGTGAACTTGACTAAACTAAACAAAACATGTCTTGGCTAATGGAGTGATTTGAATTAACCCTTTAAATTGTCACCAAACTTTTATTCTAGACTTCTAAAACCTAAGAAGAACTAGTCACTACTGAATAATAAACCGTTGAATGTAATAGGTCTGGGTTTTTAATGGCCTAAAGAGGAAAACTGTGTAATGCTGATCCTTCTCTGAGCTGTCGCTTTCAGACAGGGAGAGATTTGTCCACCAGGGTGTAGAGACTGAAGGTCTGAGAGGGATCAGATGGCTGGAGTTTGGTGTGTGTGAGTGAAGCTCTACAGACGCGTCAAATCCTCACATCGCTCTGCTTCCCCCCGAGGAGAACTAAAAGCATTAAAAAGAGATTTCAGGAGCACTGGGAGATTATATGAGCTGGGTTTAAAACACATATGCGGACCTCTCCTACAGCAGCCATGAGCCGGCACAGCTGTTCTGATAGTAACCTGACTTACTGAGGGGCTATTACAGTATCTGTATTACAGCACTGTGCTTAAAATGTCAGTCTCAGGAAATAACATATACAGTCTGACATGAAGATTTAAAAATTCTTCTGATCATTTTACCATTTTAATTATTTAAAAAATAATGCTTTACAGTGAAACTAGAGATACTGAGTTAACTAGTAAGCTTCGGTTCACCAGTGCGGGCCATTTCCTTCATCAGGAATCCTTCACAGAAATCTGTAAAAAAAATGCACTGTCCAATGTCTGTCCTGCTGCTCTGCTCACTTTATCATTCTGTACACACAACAGCTTTCATTCACCACTGTTGTTTGTGACATACAAAGTCACGATTTAGTCACTTTTTGGAAATTAGTGGCTCTGCTACATTGTTTACATATTAATATTTTATATTCTAGAGTCAAGTACTGTTTACTGAGGTCGTTTACAGACCAATATCTCTAAATGTCTCAGTTTAATGATGTTGTTTATGGATTAATATCTCATATTCCTGTGTATAGGAGTGTTTATTGATGTTGTTTACAGACTAATATCTTGTAATCTAGTGTATAAGAGTGTTTATTGAGGTTGTTTATGGACTAATAGCTCCTATTCCTGTGTATGGGAGTGTTTATTAAGGTTGTTTACAGACTAATATCTCAATTTCATGTACAAGAGTGTTTGATGAGGTTGTTCTAGAACCTAATATCTTCTATTTTAGTGTATAGGAGTGTTCATTAAGGTTGTTTACAGACTAATATCTCTTATTCTTGTGTATAGGATCATTTATTGAGGTTGTTTTCAGACCAATATCTCTTTACACAACCATTTATTTAGGTTTTTTATAGACTAATATCTCTTATTCTTGTGTATAGGATCATTTATTGAGGTTGTTTTCAGACCAATATCTCTTTACACAACCATTTATTTAGGTTTTTTATAGACTAATATCTCTTATTCTAGTGTATAGGAGCATTTATTGAGGTTGTTTACAGACTAATATCTCCTATTTTAGTGTATAGAAGCATTTATTAGTGTTGTTTTCAGACCAATATCTCCATAAACTACGATTTATTAAGGTTGTTTATGGACTAATATTTCTTATTGTAGAGTATAGGAGCATTTAATGAGACTGTTTTAGACTGATTTTGAGTGCGTTTATTGACTGCTGTATTTCATTAGCTGAAGTTGTGCTGAATCTGAGGATAGAGCTATAATACTTCATGTTGATGTTTACAAAACAGAAAAGACTTTTATGTATGTGGTCTAAAAGAATAAAGAGGAAGGTTACAGTGTAGTTAAAGGCTTTGATGGAACAGCCAGAGAAGTTTACCTCATGCTAATGAGGACGTCTCCATTTCGGAAGATGAAAAGGAGGATGTTTTCCTGCGTGACATCATGGAAGTTAGCGCTCTTCTCATTAGCGAAGAACAGGTCAGGCTTCCAAAGGCATTTAAACATCTTGGGGTCGACTGTGAGCGATTCGGACTTAAAGTCCTGAGGGAGACGCAGCCTTGGGTCATTCCAGCGTTGCCTCAGGAAAATATTAACGCGGTAATCCTGCAAAAGAACCACATTAAAACCCACAGTATATTTAGGATATGTATTAGATGCTTGAATGAACAGTTTAGTAAAAATAATTTAATCAATTTTCAAAACTCAGTAAATCAAGATCATGTCAACATCACATGTTTGGTGTCTGAAGTTTAGTTTTGCACTGGGACCAGTGTAGCTAACAAGCCACCTATCAGCATGGTGCTAACTTCATACCTACACACAGAAAAGACGGTTCTTCAAGGGTTCTTTAGCAAAACCAATGGTACTATTTAGAACCTTGAGTTCTATATAGAACCATTTCATGCTTAAATGGTTCTTTGCATGGTGAAATTGTTCTTCAGATTGATGGAGAATTTGTTTTGAAAAAGTTTCTACATAGCAGGAAAATGGGCTGCTGTTGTTACAAGCTTGATACTGTAAACAATAGCAGAATTCTTTCTGGTGCTATATAGAACCCTTTTCAAAAAGGTTCTATATAGAACCAACACTTTCTCCATCAATCTGAAAAGTCATTTCACCTTGCAAGGAACAATTTAAGCATGAAATGGTTCTATATAGAACTCATGGTTCTAAACAGAGTCATTCCCTTTACTAAAAAACCCTTGATTAACCATTTTTTTACGAGTGTAAATCATAACACGTCTTAAACCAACACTGTATAACATACTGTTAATTGTGCTAATTGGTGGGGTATAAACTTCCATTCCATTGTTAGCAATGAGGGATGCAGTGTTACATTATATCCAACAATGTAGTCACCACACTAGCCACGTTTACATGAAGCCTGATAATCTGTTAGTAATCCAACTAATAGCTCAGTTGGAATAGAGTATGTCCATGTAAACACCTCAAGCAGAATAGATTAGTCTGATGGAGGCCATTCAGGATACAATTTCTATCCGATTGAACAAGGTGGGTAATCCTGTAAATAATCTGTTAAATAGAAGAATAATAACCGTGTAAACGCCTGTATCTGATTACATTCCCAATCGGAAAGTTTCCGTAGGTTCTGCGCATGTGCATTCGCATTAGCATGGCGGGAGCAGAAACTGGTCTGCAGCGGAGACGAAGATTATGCTTTGAGCTTTAAAAGACAGTGGTGGGACAGGTGTCCAGTTTATGTGTCTCAGAACACGACGTCTTCCTCTCGCCCTTCTTTAATAAGTACATGTGAAGTACGTTTTCCTGACTCTGACATCTTTTTAAAGTAATTAAAAACACAAGCACTGCTCACTGCTGCTTGTCTCACTCTGACTGGACTCATGTGATGCTCATTGTCATGGTAACGTCTACAATAAGTGGTTCTCTATGTATGCATGTTATTTTTGGATAGGATTACTTGTAGCATTCATGTAAACAGAGATTTTCCATCAGATGGTTGAGTAGAGTGAGCACATAAACACCTCAGTCTTCATCTATAATCGGAATGTATTTAATCAGACTGGCAAAAATCTTTGTATGTAATAATTATTTTAATACTGATCCAGTGTATTGGATCAGTGCATCACTATTAGCCACAAACAGAACAGAAGGACTCAGACTCAGACTCTGAAGGTATTTCAGAGCGCAGCAGCTCGTGGGCAACAGTAGCTGAGAGTTGTGAGCACAGGTTTGTATTTGGTGACAGATTATGAGATTCTGCGTAAATCAGGCCATTAGCTCTGAGAGTGATGGGGGAACCCAGGTGTTTCAGACGTTTCTGTGGCAGCCGGTGTTTCTCACATCCTCCAAAACAAGCTCGTCACTCGAGTATCCATCCCCCATTAACGGCCCTACTGAAGTGCAGCTGCGTGGCCGATGCAGAGCTTATTTACATTTCCAGCTATCAGCACCATCACGGAGGTGTGAGGAGAGCGGCCGGAGGCTTAGTGATGTTTCTGCGAGTCCAGTCTGGGGTAAAAAAGCCACACTCAGTAGGCTAAAGCTAGAGGCCAACAGCTAACAGCTCATGAAAGCCTGAAGCTTTGAAGTGACTTTTTTTGAAAGCTTGTTTTGGTCCTGTTGAAATTATAAAGATGGCTGACATGCCAAATGAAATGACCACACTGCAGCTGCGCCATGTTTTTGGTTCATAAGGTCAGAAGTAAGTTTAGAAGAAATATAAGTATATTTAGTATATTATAAGTATATTGTCGGAAGAAAACCTCGTATCTCCAAATGGTAACTTTACAGGAGAAGGAAAAACATACTTTACTTTAAATGTAAGTCAGTGGAACCGGTCTTTTTTCCAAGTCATTTTAGGCTGATTCTTTTGGTCCATTCATCATGCAATTTACACACAATGTAAAGAAAAACAGGCATACACATACACAAAAACATACACATATATATATACAGGCATTTACATATAAATATATAAGGAAAAAAACAATGGAAATGCTCAAAAATGACTTGTAATAATATGTATATGTAAGCCCCATATATATTAAACACTTGTAACCAATATGCAAATGTATGTTTCACAACGTGACACTGTATTAAATAAACGTGTGTGTACATGTGCATTTCTGCATGATTCACATCCTGTTTTTTCCAACTGTTAAAACAAGGTGAACCTGGCTGTGTGACACATATGAGCTGGTGATTGTGTTAAATTTACAGCTCACAATTAGCCGGCCCCTCCTGCCCAACGCCTCATAAACCATAAACCACCGACAACTTCAAATGAGCTTTAAAACTGCTGCAGCAAAGCAGGAGCCCCCTCTAATACTGCTCTTTAATGTGGGTGTGAATGGACAGCTTTGTGGGTCTGTACACGAGAGAGAGAGAGAGAGAGAGAGAGAGAGAGAGGAAGAGGGAGGGAGAAATTGATCGAGAGAAAGAAGAGAGAGACAGAGAAAGAGAAAGCAAAAGACAGAAAGAGAAAAGAAAAAGTAAGAAGAAAGAAAAATAGGGAGAGAGAGAGGGAGGGAGAGGGGGAGGAACAGAGATGGTGAGAAGAAGAAGAGAGAGAGACGGACAGAGATAGAGACAGAGAGAGAGACAGAGAGAAAGAGAGAGAGAGAGGGGGGGGGAATGGAAATGATATACAGAGAGAGAGAGACAGTGAGGAGAGAGCAAGAAAGAGAGAAAGAGGAAAAAAGAGAGATGAAAAAGAGAGAGAGAAAGAGAGAGATACAGACAGCTGCAAGAGTGAGAGAGACAGAAAGGAGAGAGAGGGATACACAGAGAGAAAAAGAGAGAAAAAAACAGACGCAAAACAGAAAGAGATACAGACAGCTGGCAAAGAGAGAGAGAGAGAGAGAGAGAGAGAAAACAAAAGAGACAGACAGAGCTATGATAGAGAGAAAGAGAGAGAGAGGGAGAGAGAAGGAGAAAGTGGAATGAAAAAGAGACAGAGAGAGACAGAGATGCAAAAAAGAAAGAGAGAGAAAGAAAGAGGGAGCGAATGAGTGCGCGAGAGTCTCTGGCCACCTGTGCAGTGACACATTAAAGCTGCTGACCGCTGCAGGAATGACCCGCTGGTTCTGGCAGCATCCCTCCCACCCAACGCCCCCAACTCCCTCAACCTCCCCCCCTGCCCCGGACACACACACACTGTGACACTTCATTTGCAGATTTATGGCACTTCGGTGTCACGCAAACCTCAGACACCCACAGCACTAATAACACATGACTCATAGAGTCAGGACAAGACCACCATTTACAAACAACAACACACTGAGCTGCAGTTCATTAGGCACTCATACTCTGTACACACTCACTGGCCTTTTTATCAGAAACACAGAGTATACAGGTGCAGGGGATGAACGACTAGAATCGACCAGGATCAGAGTCTGTATTTTTAGACCAAACAAGCAATCAGCTAATTTATTATTTTTACTTGCGATCTGTGTTGGATTTGTTCCTCAGCGCTATTGCAGATCTATCAATGAGTATGTTTACGTGCACTCAATTTTCCTATCATAATCGGATTTCTGCAGTTATCCAATTATTCAAATGGTCATGTAAACACCATACTCTGATCTAGAAACCTGATTAAGAAATCTAACAAAGAGGCTGGATTTTAGCTCAGTAATCAGATTTCTCAGTGCATGTAAGCTCTTACTCTGATTTCTTTCGGATTTTTTAGTCTGCTGTACCGGAAATAAGCAAGCAGCATTGCCGCGAGATGCAGAGAAACACATCTGGACAGACGCTGAAACCGACTACATTCTCGACTCGATTTAAATATTCTTCATCTTCTAGATGATGAATGTTCTTATTTTCAGATAAAGTGGTGCGGTGTTTTCTAAAAAATGCTGCGGCATAAAGTTTGAGTTTTATATTACATTAACGATTTCTTCTGTGAGTTTATTGGCCAGTTGCAAAGCAGAAATCTGATTACTGTCTGACTCGTGTAGACCTGGAGTTTCACCATTATCTGATTACTCAAGTGCATGGAAATTCATTGAGAAAATTTGATTTTCTGCAGTTATCAGATTATTAAGTGCATGTAAACACACTCATTGTTGTGAAAAAAGCACACAGATTTCACCACCTTTATTGACGTACAAACTACTCTGTGTCGTAGAAACGATTGTTGAATCAGCTTTGGTGCGTGAAATCAAGCACTAGCCCACAGGGACCTCATTTACATAAGGCACGCCCTAATTTGTGCAGATGTTTCAGTAAAATGACAACATTCCGCAACACATGAGCCAAAGGCGGTGCTTGTAGGCAGAGTTTGAGGTTGAGCGATGAGTGCAGTGCTCCCCCTACATTACCTTATAGCATTAAAATTGCCACTGGAAAGAATACAATGTAAAATAAGCGAAAATGTCTTCGTTTTTTAGGATGGTAGAATGATGTGATTGTGTGGTATGATTATTCTCCTAAAATAACTTTTAAACACTGTATTATTGCAATGTATGACACTCGCTATATTTTGTGTTGTGTATTTGGTGGGTGGAGTCAGTAGTATAAAACAAAAGCACAGTGTAAGATGTCTTTGAATGGAATGGAATAGTTGCAGTATTTGATTACATCTATGTGCATGTAAAATAATTACATGCACTTATGTACTGGATTGCCATGTGCTCTTATTATTAGTATTATTATTATTTTCTATTTGTATGCTTATTATTGGTTTTATAGAAGATACTGAGTAGTTTTGGTTAGTTAACTGCAAATCAAGCATTCATTTCAGGCTGTTAAACTATTACACTCAAATTTACACTCTTCTGATGGGAGTTTGATAAGCCAAAAATGACACTGATGAATAACAAAATCGTGTGGGCTCATTTTACAAGTACATTATGATTAGATCTGACAGTATGCAACTGATGAATACGGGCCAATAACTACTGTTTCTACTACTTTTCTTCAATTTCATTGTACTTTTATAATGATAATAAAGATAATCTAACCTTTGTTTAAACTATATAATCACAGTAGTAAAATTTAACCGTAAAAAACTAAAACAAATTGATAAACCATTGAAATTATGTACAATGTAGTAAAACAATGTAGTAAATTAATTACAGATCAGATAGGGATAAAACAAAAGACATAATTAATGAAATAAATAAAGAAAGAGAAAATGTAAGACAGGAAATCGGCAATAATAAAAGAAATAAAAAGAATGATAATAAAATAAATAAAATGAATAAAAAGGATAATAAAAAAAATGAAACAATGGCTAAAACATGGCTAAAACATACCAAAATCATATTCAAAGTAAGTAAAATCAAGTACAACAGTAAAACGAATACATTCATTTAGCCCACACAGGGTGAGCTTTGGGTTAAAAAACAGGAAATTTGGCTGTAAAGAATTTAGAATTAGCCATAAAATTCATTATCAGAGCATTTCTACTGCAATGCAATTACTGACTGAAGCCCATCTGTTGCTGCACATCAGTTCCTCTACCCAGCCAAGAGCCGCTCTGTGGTCAGAAACCAACCACTGATGAAGCACTACAAGAAGCTCACTCCAACTGTGCATCAACAGATGGTCTACAGTCTCCAGCAAGGTGCAGCTACAGGGAGGGGTTTCTGATAAAGTGGCCAGTCAGTGCACACAATGTGCAAACTTCTTGGCAGATTGGTTTTATTTGGGTTGGGGGGCTGAGTTTTCCATAGAATTACTCTTTCAAAAATACCTTCCTTTTAAACAAAGCTGAACATGTGAAGTGTTCGCATGGTAATGTGATTAGAATGAGGCCTCATTCCTCGATCGCTCTTTCTGATATCTTTCACTGATTTCAGTGGTGTTTTGAGTTTGAAACAGAAGTCAGGCAGCTGGGAGGAAACTGAGAGTGAAATTTATGACAAACTCAATATGACTTAAATCGTCAAGCCACTAAAACAGCTCCATTAAAATTGCACTGGATCAAAGCAGCTGTAATTGACAGTAAATAATGATGACTGAAATATGACTCTGGGGCTTTTCTAACAAGGGCATGAAGATTGACTATGAGTGGAACGAAACTGTTCTGACTCAGTTTTATCTGTCCACAAAGGTCATTCTGTAATAAACAGCAACAACACGCTATGCCTTTTCTTAAGTGAAAGAAAAGATATATTTATTCAAAAGTTCTTCATGGAGTAGTTGTGTGGAGCTTCCAATTGACATGGTTTCCTCCCTTTCCATGAATGTGATCAATCACACCGCAAAACATGGCAACCTGTAACGTGAAATTATCTTGTGTCTAGTTGACATAGCCAACATTTCTCAGTTTGAAAATATTCTTCTAACCATATTTTAGGATTGTTTAACTTATTTCTAGACATTACTCAGTGCATATTTGAGCTAATGGGATAAAACTGAACTGATCCACTTCAAAGCTCTAGTTGAAAATAGAGGTGTGAACTTCCGCAGGATTCCTGCTGGATCATAGGACCCAACACAAAATCTTGCGGCACAGGACTAATTTTCAGGGTACCCAGCCCACTGCAGGTGGGAGCGGGATGCAGCACGCATCAAGAAAAATTTCGCAAATTAATGAACCACTTAAATAAATTAGAGTGATCACAAAATCATATATATGTAAACAATATAAAATGGTAACAAGTGAAACAATTAAAATGAACAAAGACAATTGAAAGAGTTGCGAAGCAACCGATGACAGGAACAACATGCAAATTCTTGTTTCTTACAGAGACGGCAGAGCCTTCAGTCTGACGGCCACAGCTGCCCAGCAAAACACCAAAAATAACCGCTTTGTGGTTTAATTCCTGTTTTGTGTTTAAATGGCAAATAAATGTCGTTTGATGAAGTTACTTCACAGGGAGTCTGATGATCAGACTCAATATAGAGTCAAATATTGGAAGTCAGTTTGCCTTAATGGAGCTGTGTGGGTGAGGGCACACACCCTTCACGGCCTAGTCCACATATACATATACAGTCTATATATGGAAAATAAGCAGCAAAAACAGCCAATTTTGAACACACTGTTTTTGTGAGGTCACAAAAAAATAACACATTAACACATATCCACCTGTTCAGCCTACAACAGTTCAGCCTCGCCCATTCCGAACTCTTTAGTGGTTAATAAATAATAAGCTTTAGCATGAAATAAGCCTGTGATTTTAAGGGGTTGAATTGTTTGCCGATGTTTTTAAGTAGGCATGATTACAACACACGCAGTGGTTAAATTTTTAATTTCGCAAGACTTCCCCTTTTAGCAAACTTCTAAAATTACTATTTAAACTATTTATGGTAATGGAGTGAAATTGGAAATGTCAAATTTTGATTTTAATAACTGTTAATTTAACAAAAAAACTGCTTTTGTGAAAAAAAAAAATTACATATGTCCACTTGCTCAGCCTATTACACTTCAGCCGCCCATTCATGCTGAGTGCTTGCCTGGACTGCTTTTCGAATGAGGCACACAAAGCAGCCAATCTGAAAAGAGCTCATGTACATGATCAAGTGAAAGGCACTGTAAAAAATGTGTAAATATAATGTGTTAAGAGAGATTGAAAAATTGCCATGACAATGAATGATGATTGTTTCTTGTACATAAAAAGATACAAACCTTGTAAGTGGACCCTTAAGGAAAAAAAATGTAGCATATGGAGCTTTTAAGCGCTTTCACTTTGCACTTTATGTGGCATTACACAGAAACGAACAAGAATAAAGTGATAAAATATGGTCATGTACCATGGTGGTTTCTTGAATGGAGCCGAAGCTGTTGATAAAGATGTTGACACGGTCCTCCACGGGAATACCTGTTCATAAAACAAAACAAAAAAAATGGCTCAATTTCTTCACCACTACCCATAATTTTAATCAAAAACACTGTGGATTATTGGTTTCTTTTATATGCAGCCTGCATCATGAAACTAGTTTCCATTCCATGTAATGCGAGAAGCCTGGCACTACAGGGAAAAAGAAAAAAAATAAAATCCCAGACGTTCCGGTTCTACCCCCATTCCCAAGATTATACTGTTGACTCTAATGTTTGCCAGGAGCTTTCATCTTACACTGATATGTGGAGCAGATGGGTGACCCACGGGGAGTAATAACATTCAGTCATACGCAAAACCCTAAACACTCAGACCACATCAAGGCTCCACCAACATGCACATATACGTTAAACACCAGGCAGCGTGGAGGCAATACAGCCTCTCGCTTTTTACTGCCTCCTTCATTATATCTGGAGATGTTGCCAGAGAAAACACGTACTACACGGCTAAAAGAGATTTAATGATCTGCTCCTGTTTGAATTTGGACCGTTAAACGGGGGTCTTCACTCGAAAAGTGGGACAAAAGCCATCAGTTTTATGTGAAAGTCTATGAAGTCATGCTGAATAAAACTGTAACCGAATAAATAAACTCAGGTCGGTGCTCTTGGCTGACCCGACGTACCCTTGAAGTTGGGCCGGATGCGGGGGTCATAGCTGATCAGAAGTCGGTTTAGGATGTTGCTTGTGGAGTTTGCAGGAACTTGCGCCAGGTCTTCTGATGAGAGCTGCCTGTAGAAATGACATGAAGGCCAAAGACTGCATTATTATACAGTTAAGAGTGATTAGTCCTTCGGGCTGTCATGATTAATGAATTATATATCAAATCAAATACATCAAATTAAAGCTCTTGATCAACTCTTTCTACTGCCAAAAGGACACACAGTTGTTAATCAAAAGTTATTATTCAAAAACCAACAGACTTCATACCAAACACAGTGAACCAGTTGCCGCCAAAAGGGGGGAAGTTCAACATGCCATACAAAGTGACTGAGCTTAGACACACTGACTTTCTGGATTTCAAGTTCTTTTAACAACACATGATCTGAAACGAAACTAAGACGCAGAGGGAGAAACAGTTCGCTGGCAGAAAATCAAAGGCTGCGGTACACAAAACAGGACCCGAAAGGTATTCAGTTCAAATTTGAACTCAACCGAGCTCGACCAAGCCTTTAGAACTCAACCAAGCCTTTAGAACTGAACCAAGCTTTTAGAACTCGATCAAGCCTTAAGAACTCGACCAAGCCTTTAGAACTCAACCAAGCCTTTAGAACTGAACCAAGCTTTTAGAACTCGATCAAGCCTTAAGAATTTGACCAAGCCTTTAGAACTCAACCAAGCCTTTAGACCTGAACCAAGCCTTTCGAACTTGACCAAGACTTTAGCACTCAACCAAACCTTTAGAACTCGTCTGAGCCTTTAGAACTCGACCAAGCCTTTAGAACTCGACCAAGCCTTTAGAACTCAACCAAGACTTTCGAACTCGACCAAGCCTTTCAAACTCAACCATGACTTTAGCACTCAACCAAACCTTTAGAACTCGTCTGAGCTTTTAGAATCTGACCAAGCCTTTAGACCTCGACCAAGACTTTAGAACTCAACCAAGCCTTTAGAACTCGACTGAGCTTTTAAAACTCGACCAAGCCTTTAGAATGCAACCAAGGTTGACCAAGCCTGTAGAACTCAACCAAGCTCGACCAAGCCTTTAGAACTCAACCAAGCTCGACCAAGCCTGTAGAACTCAACTAAGCCTTTAGAACTCGACCAAGCTCGACCAAGCCTGTAGAACTCAACCAAGCCTTCAGAACTCGACCAAGCTTGACCAAGCCTTTAGAACTCAACCAAGCCTTTAGAACTCAACCAAGCTCGACCAAGCCTTTAGAACTCAACCAAGCCTTTAGAACTCGACCAAGCCTTTAGAACTCAACCAAGCCTTTAGAACTTAACCAAGCTCAACCAAGCCTTTAGAACTCAACCAAGCCTTTATGTCCAAAAATACTGGTGGTTTTGGATAGTAAATAAAATGGCTATACTTCTGTTGTAGTCATGGCGATCCCTGGTTCCTATCAACACCACTGTAAAGAACACTGAACAATTTCATACCAAACCGCTCTCAAACACTCTGTTTACATCTCAAGCGCTATAGTATGCAGGACATTGGTGGAAATGTCCACCCGTTTGTTTGTTCGTTTGGTCATTGGTTGGTTGGTTGGTTTTACGACTACTTTTAACTCACTGAAATTTTTAATTTGTAGCAATTTTTTTTTAATAAAAAGTATTTTAAAATCCTTAATTTCATAAGAAATGTATCTTCGGACATTTATACATACAGTGCATAAAAATGTATTTGTCTTTAATTTATTATTTTTTTATTGTCAGTAAAATATTTTTGTAGTTTTTACGTTATATGTGATTACTTTGTATTAGAATTAAATATGATTCTGATCGGCTGGCCTGTATGTGCCTAATTAAAGAGCTGAAACACTCTTTATAACTTCACTGTAAAAGAAGGTGGGGCTAAACTGCTGAAAGATGTATGTGTGTTGGTTTTAGTGCCAACCCAAAATTAAATAATTTAAAACAGGCTGTTTTTTGTGGCTTGGTTTCCAAATACAGGCTGTGTGGATTGACTGTTAGCTTTAAAAGCTAGCTAAATATATTTAAAAAAAGCAATTATAATCTGTTTTTCCCTGATATTGGCCCTTTAATATAGGGCAAGGATGTGTATCCCGCAAAACGTTATATTTGTGCACATTGCGGAGCTCTACAGAGAAATGGTGCTTAATCAGTTAATCCTGCGAGTGTGAATGAAGGTGTTGTGTGGTAGTCTAGGCTGAACCTTGGTGGGCTGTAACAGAGTGCTTGTGTGTGTGTGTGTGTATGTGTGTGGAGTAGTGTGTGTGAGGACGTCACTGTGCAGGGCTTTACTGCAGCGACGCTGAGGGAAGTTGACTTTGATCAGGGGAAGAGGCCCGTTGAGTCTAAAACCTTTCGAACACTTTCATCTCTCTTAATGTAGTGTGTGCTTCTCACCGCTTCATGAACTAGAGCTTCTCATGAAACGCTTACACCGTGTGTGGAGATGCTTCATGCTGCAAATCCTCCTCCCAGCTGACTGAATGAAACCAGTGAGGGAGAAGCTAAGGGTGTTTCCACATACAGCTCATTTCAAATGAACCAAACTCACTTCTGTTAAAGTGACCCAGCCACAGCTGACCTCAGTGCTTCTTGTGTTCACAACGTCAGCTAAATTTGAAGGGGCCTCAGTTCTCTTTCTGGTCCTCTTTAGCTCAGATGAGATCTCACACCACTTGCGGTTTACACCACAACTCTTTTAGAACTCAGAGTCCAGCTGGATGACGCCGAAGTTCATTATCTAAGGGAAACGTTTCAGTGATTTCAGTAGGATCTACACTTGCTCTCATACTATTATGCATACTAATGTACTTCTGCTGTGTGAATGTACTTTCCTGCTTTCCTTTACAGTCTCTTAAAGGGCAATTCCACTGATTTTTCAGAAATTCTGCACAATTCAATGGTTGAATTGCATGAAGAAAATTCCTTAGAGTGAGTTAAGGAGAGAAACTTACTGACTGAGATTTCTTTACAGTGGTGGTGATAGGAACCAGGGATCTACAACACAAATAGAGCCATTTTACTTACTATCCTAAACCACCAGTGAACCTACACGTCTTCTGAGTGTGTATATGGAATGTTAATGATAAAATTGTGGAAAATCTGAAAAAAAGTTTCATTTTTGTCTTACAATGCTCTAAGCCAGGGGTCGGCAACATGAGGCTCTTTTACTGCCCTGTTGCGGCTCCACAGCAGAACTAGATTTTAGGTAAATGTAAAATAATCCTCCTTTGCAGTAAAATAAAGCTCTGCTGATTGTTCTAACACAGTTTTATAAGTAAATGGTCTTAAACATTGGAGTTAATGTGTAACTACTAATTCACCCTTTAACCCTGAAGGTTGGCACGCAGACTACTGGCCACCATAGCAACACAGACAACATAGACAACAATCTTGCCTAGCTAGTAGCTAATGAAACAGCAAAGAGAAAGATTTAAGATGAACATCGATAATTTAGAGATGAGTGGACTTTGCATTTATAATCACTCCAGCTGGTTTCCTGATATGTTTAATCTGCAACGAGAAACTGACAAACACTAAAAAGTCGTAAGGCTGAAGTCAGCTTCTCATTCGCCAGCTTCTTCTTCGATTTCTCGAACATTCTTCCAATGTTCCACCATAAATGGTGCAGCAGTTACATTCTGGTGCCTCAAGCACCATTTAAGGTGGAACAGGAAAATTTTAACAAGAAGTTAGTGAATGAGAAGCGACTTCAGCCTCATAAAAAGTCGAACTTTGAGAGACATTTTACTTTTGTGGAAAATTTTCCTGCCGGAGATGTGAGAAAAGCAGCTATAGCTGAGCTAAATCTTAATGCAGAGCAAAGTAAGTCTGTGCTTTTGTTTATATTTTTTAGCCTATACTAGAACATTAGCACATACTGAGACATATTTACAGCCAAGACAGTAAAATAGACATAAAATGATGTGGTGTGATTTTTGTTGAAAGGACAAAATAGCTCTTCTTAACATTTGAATTGCCAACCCCTGACCTATGCTCTGGCCCAGAGCTTCAAGACCGCCACCACTGTGCCAGTGCCAAAGCATTCGACTGCTTCAGGCCTGAATGACTTCCGCCCTGTCGCACTCACCTCCACCCTCTCCAAGTGCTTCTAAAGACTAGTTGTTTCTCATTTGAAATCCTGTCTGCCTGCTACACTGGACCCACACCAATTTGCCTACCACCACAACAGGTCAACAGAGGCGCTCCATACTGTACTGACCCACCTGGACTGTCAAAACTCATGTGTCACAATGCTGTGCATTTAACACGTGATTCCCGCCGAGCTGATCTTAAAGCTTAGCCAGACTGGTATCAGCACATCTCTGTGCAATTGGATTCAGGACTTCCTGACTGACAGACCTCAGTCTGTAAGGTTAAGCCAAGTCTTCTCCTCCTCCATCAACCTGAACACCAGCGTGCCACAGGGCTATGTACTAAGCCCTCTTCTGTACTCCCTGTTCACCCATGACCGTGCTCTTGTTAATGGTTCTAAGTTCGCGGATGACACCACAGTGATAGGTCTGATCAGGGGTGACGATTAGACGGCCTACAGGGATGAGGTGCAGCACATGGCAGCATGGCGTGAGGACAACAACCTGGCATTCAACACCCAGAAAACCAAGGGGATCATAGTGGACTACAGAAAAGGTAGGAGCCAGGCACAATCTCCCATTTACATCAGCGGAGCTGAGGTAGAGCGCCCGCCTGGCTTCAAGTTCCTTGGCATCCACATCTCAGATGATCTCACCTGGTCCCTAAACATCATGGTCAAAAAGGCACAACAGTGTCTTTACTACCTATGGAGCCGCAAGAAAGCTCACCTGTGACCCGGGATACTGGTGGACTTTAACCGCTGTACCATTGAGAGCATACTCACAAAATGCATCTCCGTGTGGTACGGCAACCGCTCCACATCTGATTATCCTCTATTAAGAAAGCTGTGACCCTGCTGAACTCCACACTGCCACTTTAACCGCATCACTGCACTGTTACTGTACTTTATGTCCTGGTATTATTGCACTTTTTATTTTTGTACAGTCTATTACTGCACTATTCATATCTGCACAGACAATTACTGTACATGTTTTTAATCTACATGCTTATCATTTTACATGTGCTGCTCTCACAGTACATACAACCTACATTTCATCACTGTCCAAAGAAAAACAAGTATCTCCCAAAACCTTAACTTTTAACTTTTAATGTAAGTTAATGTAAAGAGATTTTATTCAAAGTGATTTTGGGGCATTTCTATTGGTCCATTCATCATGAAATTTTCATACAATGTAAAGGAGAACTGCCATGTTCTAATGATGTAGAAAAATAAAAATCAACGAAATTGGAGATACATGTTTTTCTTTGGACAGCAACGAATGATATTCTTTACTCTCACTCTGTATATATGTATATTTATACTTGCGACATCTATATTTTTTACTGCTCCACTGTCTTTAATTGTACTTGTTGTAACTACAGCATTGCTTACCACGGTTACTTTCCTGAACTTTATTTGTAAATAATACTGCATTTTGCACTTCTGGGTAGACACTAACTGCATTTCATTGGCTCTGCAGCTGCACTCTGCACAATAGCCACATTTACATGAAGCCTGATCATCTGTTAATAATCCAACTAATAGCTCAATCAGAATAGAATACGTCCATGTATACACCTCAATTGGAATAGACTAGTCCTATTGAGGCCACTCGGAATACAGTTTCTATCCGATTGAACGAGGTGGGTAATCCTGTAAATAATCTGTTAAATAGAAGAATAATAGCCGTGTAAGCGCCTTTATCTGATTACATTCCCAATCAGAACGTGTAAGTACATTCTGCGCATTTGTGTCGCATCATAGCGAAAGTTTATAACGTTCAACATGGCGGCAGCAGAAACTGGTCTGCAGAGGAGATGAAGTTGAACTTCAAAAAAAGCCTTGAAATTTAAAAGACGGCGATAGGACGGGCGTCCATCTTATGTGTAGTATGTTTTCCTGAGTCCATTAAAAACACAATCACTGCTCACTGCTGCTCATCTCACTCTGACTGGACTCACGGGATGCTTGTTGTCATGATAACATCCACACTAAGTGTTACTCTACGCATGCACATAATTTTGGATCGGATTACTTGTAGTGTGCATGTAAATGGAGATTTTAATCAGAGTGTTAGGTAGAGTGAGATATAAACACCTCAGTCTTAATCTACAATCAGAACATATTCAATCGGATTGGCAAAAATCTTTGCATGTAAACACAGCCAAAAACAATAGTTTAATCTGATCTAATGTACATGTACCTCTTTACCATGAACTTTTAAAATGGTATATTTCAAATCTGCAGCATATTTATAACCATTTCATGTAATAATTTTCTGTGGATGTCTGGTTCCTATCACCACAACTGAGAACTATTCTAGGTACATTTCTCTAGAACGGAGCTTTCACACCAAACCACTCTGAATGACTGTTTACCATTTAACTGTGAACAAAATTAAAAATTATTCCACAGTAATCATGAAAAATACTTTTTTTGATGTGCAACCGCGTACCAGTGCAATAATCGCTTAAACAGCGGAATGCAAAATGCAAATAAAATCCAAAGAATGCATGAATGCTAAAGTCTTACAAATGCAAAGGAAAAAACGATTCATTATATATACCAATTTCATGCCTGTTATCACTGAGCCCTACTGTATTTATGTTTATTTGTAGTTATTCTAACGTTATATAGTCTTTTTACTGACAAAACATGGACTTACTGCCCAAATAATTACATTTAAACACGTTTCTGGCCGCTTTGACTTTTTCACAGTAGCCAAAACGGCATTGGCTTCGACAGACGTGCACATGAAAAATTCGTCCCAGAATTTCCACATCTGTGCATCTCTAGTCAGCAGACATCACATCTGAAGCCAAGCTAGAACCCTGTGCCCTGTTACTGCTATCTGATACAGACTATTTTCATTTAAAATCATATTATGGTTTGCAGCAATAAAAGCTGACCACCCACAATGATAAAACGGCAGGGTGGTTTATTTAAGGCTGGGTCAGCATCACATAATTAAACAGTTATAGAATAGCATGAGAATGATATGAAACTTACGAGGGGCAGTAGACCTGCTTGCCTTTCTTCTTGCCCTTCTTGGCTGACTTCTCTTTGGCAGATCCTCCCTCCATCCACAGACAGAGAACACAGAGCAGCAGCAGCAGCAGCTTCAGAAACTTCATCTTCTGACAGCTCACTCTGACAGCCTGCGAGGAAGAAGAAAATTACGAGATTAGTGAAGAATCACACAACTGTTAGCCTAAAAAAACTCACTTCCATTCAAAATATTGCAGCTATTGAACAAATATTAGTGTCTTTTATGTAAATTCAATTGAGAAATGCTGCTCTCCTACCAGCTGTCCCAATCAAAGGGCTACAAAAGGACATATAGACCTGCAGGACCTTTGGAAGCATTTTAGGCTATTCTGAGACCAATCTATAGCTGAAAGTAATCAACGTTTCCTAACATATGGTTTTTGATCCATTCAGATTCTTTGTTTTTTGCTTCTTTAACTGATTAAAATCTGCCCCCAGAGTAGTTGGTGAGCCATCATGTCCACATTGGTCAGTAAAAAAGATCAGTATGTGGAAGTGGAGCTTTCTGTGAGATGCCATGTTTCCTACCACTGTATAAAAGAATCTCCATCTGCCTTTATTGCTGGATGCACGGTTGCTAAACCGCATGCAGAACGCAAATCACATCACCATGGAAACAATTATTATTGATCTGTTTCAACAGAGCAGTGATGTAAATAACTGAACACATCCACTACAGAGAACACTCTTCTGCACATTTTAATACACAATTACTGTTTATTTGCTGAATTTAACATAACATACAACACACACACACACACACACACACACACGCACACACACACACACACACACATGTATATATGATCATCTGCCAAATATGCCAAAACTACAACGGCACTGAATACTTGAATGATTCAAAAATAATTTAAAATAAAAACATGTTTTATCTAAAACAATAGGCTACATTAGCTGCTGATAACTGTTAAACCTCTTTATATGTCCCCAATTTACAGTCGTTTTTTTTTTAAAACTGCCCATTCTTTTGAACTAGACTCCTGGCAGTGGAGCTGTCCCATAGATCATTGTTGGGGAGGGGGTGGGAGCACACATTATGTTGCAGTGCATGTTGGGAACTGTTGTACAGCTCATGGTGAAATGGGAAATAGAAAATTAAAACAATTTTGCTGGCCGAATAGGATTGTGCCACGGGCCTGACTTGGCCTGCGGGCCTTGTGTTTGGCACATGGGCCGTAGAGGATGTGTTAACTTATTTACACTTAGAAAATCAACAAAACATAGAATTTGACCAGGGTAGACACTTTTGCACACCACTGTATCAGAACAAACGTAACCACAGCATTAAGAATGCATGTTATTAATGAAGAAAAGTAGATTAAATAGCAGAAACAGCCACTTTCAAAATTTTCTAAAAAAAAAACCTCAGTTTTCTTAAATTTTTACATATACATATAGACTACGTACTGTTATTTATACAAAAGGGACACAAGTTTGTTTCATAGCTAAAAACAGCAGTAGCTGAAGTGATGCTGAAATCTGAAATGCTGTCTGGATTGAACAACTTCAGCTTAAGGTGAGCATGATGATTTAGGCATGCAGTTAGCACAATGCTAATTGGTGGGTTATATGCATACAAGAAGCATACACGTCTGGGTGAATTATTGCTTTGAAATGCCCACCTGGTTTTCATGATAAAAAGATGCTGGAAAATGGTGTAGAAATGAATTGCTATTTTTGGTACATAAAAAATGTAGAGTACAGCCCTTTAAAGTAGAATCTCACAGACTTTTCAAAATGTTTGCATAATTTAATGGTCATTCAGAGCGGATTGATGTTCTAGAGAAACTTACCAAATCAGGATTGCTCACAGAGGTGGTGATAGGTACCAGATGTCCACCTCTAAAAGCTCCCTCACAGAAAATTACTACATGAAATGGTTATGAATACAATGCCTGATGTCTGAGACATTGTTTTATGATAGTTTTGAGAAGACTTCAGTGTAAAATTCTTTTTCATATTCATGGCCAAGAGTTTATTCAAGGCAAAATAGTCCCCAAAGAAAGCTTATTTTTCCATAATGTTTCAGATTTTTCCAATAGTTTACACTAGAACGTTCCATATAAACACTCAGAAGACACATGTAGGTTCACTGGTGGTTTTGGATAGTAAATAAAATGTCTACATGTGTTGTAGTCATGGCGACCCCTGGTTCCTATCACCACCACTGTAAAGAAAACAATCATTTCACACCAAACCGCTCTGAATAACTGTTTACATCTCAAACACTGAATTATACAGAAACTTTGAATAATCGGTGGAATTCCCCATCAGGTCTGTGCCATAGCTGAGAGTTTGCCAACAGAGAACTAGGTAATCAAACATATTTTACAGTTAGAATTTCATTAAAATAAAGACACTTCTGTGGCTTTATTTTTGTTTTCTACAACATTCCCAGCCTCCCTCTTTTCTGAGGACATTCAGGAGCTCTCCGCTATCCGCTGGACATCTGACTGGCTCTGTTGTGTCTTACAAATGGCTGCCCAAACACTGTGGGTGGTCTCACTGTGCCTAACTGTATTGCAGAGGGCTTCCCTTAAATCCTCCTCAGAGATACAGCCGAAATGCTATAGACAGTGCATGTTACGCATTAGGACACAGCTGAGTGAAGGGATGAATCACTGCGATGATAAAATTTCCCCTAAGCATTTTACACGTAAAAAGATCAGCCAAGATGCACCATTCTAGAGCTTGTTAGACACACATCACCCATGATGCAGACGCTAGTGTTGCATTTGTACTGAGGTGATACACAGAAACGCTTAGTTTCCATCAATCATGCGATGGTATATTTACAATTTAAGCAATAAAACAGATAACATGACATCTTGCATATACACTACCATATATAAAATACATATACAGTTGTTACGTCCATATAGGACGTATGTTTTGTTTTGCTTGCTTCCCTTTCGTTCTTTCTCTCTCTCTCATTCTCTCGCTTATTAGGAACCCTCCCACTTGTGCGTGTGATTGGCTGGAGTCCCGTAACGAAATTTCATCTGATTGGCTGGCTGAAATTGCATGGCGTATATCTTCGACGGCTGCGCCGGATGTTATCGAGGCTTTCCTCCATGGCGGCTTGGGGCGATTGTTTTTAAGATCCGAACCGCAGCGCAGCTTGTTTGTTTTATTGCTAGCGATTTTCTACTCTCCTCTCAAATGAAATAGCTTAGCTTTACCTCTTGTTCTATACCCAGTTATCTCTGCAGTTAAACTGTAAGCTCATGATCTGTCTCTGTAAATGTTCACTCTTATGCCGACCAGGTTGTAGGAGTGGGTGCCATTTCTTTTGATCTTGTTTTCTCCTGTTTTTGGTATAGTTAGGGAGTTAGGAAAGACTGACTGTACTTTTGTTTCTTTATGTTTGCATAGGTAAGTTAGTTATCTAACATTTCTAGCTAGGCTTGTTATGTTTATTGTTTTGGCGCTTGCCCACTCTGACGTTCTCCTGTGTCATATACACAAAAGAGCAGCATAAAAAGAAAATAACACGATTTGACCTGTTTAAACGTCAACTGGCTCTCTTTTGTCTTTTTTTTATGTTATGATCAACTCAAACCCCTAGACAGGTCGTAACACAGTGCTGTATAAAGGTATTTGCTCCTTCTCAGTGTCATCTATTTTTTTATATTTGTCACACTTGAATGTTTCAGATCATCAAACAACTTTTAATATTAGACAGAAATAACCCAACGAAACACAAAATGCTATTTTTAAATGATGATTTCATTTAATGAAGAAAAATGCTGTTCAGCCCTACCTGGTTCCATGTGAAAAAGTAATTACCCCCTTAGCTACTAAATCAACCAGTTTACCAAAATCAATTGACTCTTGGGTTTTATTTCACCAGACATGATCACTGCCAGACCTTTTGGATCTAAACATCACTTTAATAGAACCTGTCTGACAATGCGAAGCAGGTTAGAGGGTCTCAAAAAGCAGCACATGAAGCCACATTCTAAAGAGATTCAAATACAGATGCAAAACAAAGTCATTGAAATCTACCAGTCTGGAAAGCTGTTACAGAGCCATTGCTGAGGCTCTGAGACTCCAGTGAACCATAGTGAGAGCCATTATCCACAAACGAAGAAAACTTGGAACAGTGGTGAACCTTCCCAAGAGTGGTCGGCCTACCAAAATTTCACCAAAAGCACAACTCCAGGAGGTCATAAAAAAACCCAGACAAACATTTAAAGAACTGCAGGCCTCCCTTGCCTTAGTTAAAGTCAATGTACACAGTAAGAAAGACACTGGGCAGAGATGGCATCCTTGGGAGAGCTGCAAGCCACAAACCACTGCTGACCAAAAAGCACACAAAGGCTCGTCTCGCATCTGCCAAAAAACATCTAGATGACCCCCAAGACTTTTGGGATAATATTCTGTGGACTGATGAGCCAAAGATGGAAATTTCTGCAAAACATGGGTCCCGATACAATCAAGCGTTAAGCTAACACCACATCCCACCATGAGAACATTCTATCAACAGTGAAACCTGGTGGTGGTGGTGTGATGGTCTGGGGCTGCTTTGCTTCTGCAGGACCTGGACAACTTGTCATAATTGATGGAACCATAAATTCTGCTCTCTATCAGAAAATCCTAAAGGAGAATGTCCGCCCGTCAGTTTGTGACCTAAAGCTCATGCACAGTTGGGTTATGCAGCAGGACAATGATCCAAAGCACACAAGCGAATCCACCTCTGAATGGCTCAAAAGAAACACTATTAAGGTTTTGGAGTGGCCGAGTCAAAGTCCTGACTTGAATCCCATTGAGGTGCTGTGGCAAGACCTTCAAATAAATGAACAATTCTGTCAAGTAGAGTGAGCCAGAATTCTTCCACAGTGAAGTAAAAGACTCATTGCAGGTTATGGCAAACGTTTGATTGCAGCTGTTTCTGCCAAGCGCAGCACAACCAGTTATTATGTTAAGGAGGGCAGTTACTTTTTCACATGGGTGAATTTTTTTTATTTTTTTTTTATATCTTCAATAAATGGAATGATCATTTAAAAGCTGCATTTGTGTTCACTCATATTGTCTTTATCTTACATTCAAATTAGTTGGATGATCACCTTCACCTTCGTTTGAAATTTGCATTTTTCTCTCTGTTTTTTTTTTTGATTAAAGGGAAATTCCACCTATTTTTCAAAATTTCTGCATAATCAAACTATTAAACTAAGTCATTCACAGTGGTTTGGTGTGAAATGCTCTGTTCTAGAGAAACTTACCTTACTTCTATGTTACTCTCTAAAACCAACACAAATCTGTACCAAATACAATAATAATGTAATAATAATATAATACAACAATAATAATGAATACTTTTAGTCGGTGTCGACTGGCCACCTGGACGTTCTGGAAAACCGCCGAAGGGCCATCAGGCTGGCTCCACAGTTCATTGAACTTAAGAGTCAGATAGAGTGACCATCGACAGCAGAGGGCGCTAATGCAATCCTCTATTTGCCTAAAAAACCCCACTGAAACAAACGATGTGCTCCGTTAGTCGTCTTTGTTTCAGTGGTCATGGCAAATAGAAAATAAAAGAGAAAGGTGGGTAGGAAAAGTTGAATGAAAGAAATAAAGCAAAGTCACTGGAGACGGATGCTTCAAAATGTAAAAATCTGACGGAGCTGTTTGGCTGCAGTGCCAACAGCAGTAACGGAATCATCGAATCAACAAACGAGTGTTGAGGGCCAAGTGGCAGCTGAGCCTGAGACACATCCGGTGGCTGCTCATGATGATGAGGGACAGACAGCAGAGGGACTTTCATATGGGCAAGAGGTTCTGGTAAGCATCCAGGCAGGGACATAATCACATTTATTCAGGTTGCCGCTGCCCCCTTTCTCACTACAGCTAGCTTTTATCAACTAGGTCTGCAGAAACGTACTCAACACAAGTACGAGAACGCAAATGACAACGTTCGGCAAACGCTCTGCAAATGCACTGTCTTTCTGTACAAACTCAAACTTACTGTGCGTTCTTACGTTACTGTGGTGGGTAAAACACTCATTATTCAAGGAGGTGACAGAGGACAAATACGAATGAGAGCTGCTATTATTCCAACACCCACAACTACTCAACATGTGAAGCACTGTTATGCTGCATTCACGTTTGCAATGAAAAAACACAAACACGTCAACGCAGCATAGCGGTCAACACCAGCATAAAGCCACACAAACGTTGCCATGGTGACAGCATTACTGCCAAAAATGGATGATTATCAGTGGCAAGCTTTAGCAGTGTAGACTGTTTAAGGTGGTAGAAGGTAAGAGGACGCTTTGTACTCTTTTATTTTGTGTTGTGTATAGAACCGGCTTCATCAGGAGTTTGGCAACGACACGTTTGATACCCATGGCTCGCAAAAAAAATCAACATCCGGTTTATTCCAGTGCTGCGGTCAATAGCAAACAGCTCCACTGAAAACAAAGGAATATCCAGTTTGCCGTCATCCGTCTACCACAAACATGTGAATGCAGCATTAGGTGGTTTACCTGTCCTATCAGAATGAAGAGATGATGATGTAATATATATGTTTTGACAGTTGACTGGAAGAAAGCACAGTGGTGGCACGGGATAGCTTGGTCAGGCTGGGCTGTCGTTGGTCACCGCCCCTTGCTGAAACAACTCAGAATGCAGCTCGCATTTGCATTGCATTATGAATTTCATCAAAACACATTTTAGAAACTGTGTCTGCGTAGCCAGACACATCTGCATTCGCATACTTGCACTGAGAATGTTTTTGGCTTCAGCCTACGTTACCCACGTGACACCTCTCCATGCAGCTCTATTCAAAGTATGGGGCTTTTTTGCCCCAGTTCATGCCTGCTCAGTAGACAAGAAGTCAGGACAAACAGCTAAAAATGTAGTCTCAGAGATGTATGAGTAACAAAAGGCTTGCTAAGTCAGTGACTGTAATGTGATTATAGGACTTTTAACTGTAACACGTTACATTTCTGCAGACGATTATTCTTCATCTAAATTTACATAATCACCCAAGCTTATTAGTTATTGTAGAACAACAAAAAAGAGGGGTTGGTTTGTATTAAAGGCATTAAAACATGAGAATCTAGATGTTCCCAAACATTTGACAGCAAAGGTTAGGCTCCAGTATAACTTAAGATGTACAGCTGTACAAGTATGTTCCTGTTCGGGAAGGTCACTGTGGGCCCTCTGCGCATACATGTCACATCCACTCAGGCAAGAAAAACAAAGCCTCGGCTTCACGAAGGCCAGCAGATTTAGTCGTCCCAGCATCGCTGTCCAACAGAGCCCTGAGGGATAGCATGCTGTGCTAGCGGAGAGGGAGCAGCCGAGCGGATTAGCGTGAGGAATTCCCCTCCGAGGAGGAGTGCCAGAAGCTCTCCCTCGTCTAGACTCTCCCGGCCTCCACCTCTGGAGTCCTGAGCCTCCGCCAGCACATTGATCATCGCCTTAGCAGAAATGGGCCAACTTCTCCGCTGTCCCACATTCTCTGTCCAGCTGCTCTTACATCTTTCTCTGTGAATTCCCATTTCCCTGAATCAGCAACGTCAGCCAAAGGATGTCCCCAACACCCTCACGTACACCTACGCTCTTTTTTCCCATTTTCTTTTGGCTGCTCGCCATTAATTAGCCCAAAGCTCGGCAGCTAAAACACGGCTGATTTACGTTTTAACGTTTAGCTTCCATAACTGGACCCAGCAACCGTTTATAATTCCAGCTAACTGTGGAACATACAACTCTGCAAATGGACAGCAGGAATGCAGGTAACTAGAGTGGAAAACATGTCTCTAATAATACACAAGCAGATGAATCTAGGCCTTCTGCCACGCAACAGCCGGGAACGTGTACACGAAAACAAAGTATTAACACTCGAGCAACCTTGGAAATACATATTCATGGGGAAAAAAATAGCCGCTGGCGTGTTGCATCTCTGCTAGCTGGCCAAAGCTGAGAATTACCATTAAAGATTATGGCCCCAGTGCTATTTCACTCAATTGTTATTAATGAACATATGTACCTAAAGCCAATATCATTCTTTTATGGGTAATTCTTCAAAATGTTTGTGTAATTTAATAGTTGAGATGTAAACAGAGTGATTGAGAGTGGTTTCATCTGAAATGGTACAGATTTCTTTACAGTGGTGGTGACAGGAACCAGGGGTCGCCATGACTACAACACAAATATAGCCATTTTATTTACTATCCAAAACCACCAGTGAACCTACACGTGTCTTCTGAGCTTTTATATCTAATGTTCTAGTGTAAGATTATGGAAAAATAAGCTTTAGGGCCTGTTTTCCCTTGAATAAACTCTTGGCTATGAATACTAAAAAGAATCTTAGGCCGAAATCTTCCAAAACTATCATAAAACAGCGTCTCAGACATCAGGCAGCGTATTCATAACTATTTCATGCAATAACGTTCTGTGAGGGAGCTTTTAGAGGTGGACGGCTGGTTCCTATCACCACCACTATAAACAACTCTGAGCATTTCACAGAGAACCACTCTGAATGAACTTTATTACACCTCAACCATTTAATTATGCAGAAATTTTGAAAAATGTGGTGGAATTCTCCTCTAACCTTTAGCACTGTGTTTTGATTGCTTTTATTAAACCCCAAATCCTTCATGGGCCTGTCAAAAGTGCCAGACTTATGTTCTAAAAATGTATCATAATAATTACCTAACATTTTATCTAAGCTTATGATATTATCGTGATTTTGCATTACAGGGCGCATATCAGAGAAAATTAGATAGGAAATGTCTTCTTTTTTTTCTTTTTCGAAAAAAAATAGACTTTGATGCATTGCTAATGTTTCAACACTCTCCAGCCCACATATAATAATACAAGCTAGTTTTGAATGAATTGTTTTTTGTAGTGTCACAAAAACCAACATGTTCACTCATATTGCTTCTCAAATGACACACAATAAAGCCAATCAGAATGGGGTAATTTACATATATCACTCTTAAAAGCACAGTATCAAAAACAGCCTGTTTAATTCTAAAGGATAAAGACAAAATGTAAAAAAAATTTGTACGTAGACCCTCATAAACGCCATAAGTGGAACCCCGGAGGAAAATATATTAAACAAAAATAAATAAATACTATATGCATAGGATGATATTTTTTGGTGCTACATTGAACCATTTTCAAAAAGATTGTAAAGAACCATATTCAACACATTCTCCATCCATCTGACAAACCATTTCACCATGCAAAGAACCCTTTAAGCATGAAATGGTTCTATATAGAATTCATGGTTGTAAAAAGAATCCATCCATTTACTAAAGAACCCATGAAGAAAATCTGATTTGGAAACAGCCCTGAGAAAAGTGTGAGAATACCTCACGTCCATTGTCAGTACATAACACAGCAGCCTGCTACACGGACCTGTTTACCAATGAATAAATAAACAAACAAACAAACATATAAATAAATAAATCACAACCTGTGGATGCTGTGAGCTTCGAGTTGGGTGAAGTTTGCTCAGCAGAAGGAATCAGAGCAGATGGAGAAGAAGCAACATCCAGCAGCATCCTCCATGATGATGATGAGGAGGAGGAGGAAGAGGAAGGGGGGGGGTTGGGCAGATGCAGGCAGAAACAAGCTGCCATTAGCATGTACACCATGACAGCACGTATGCTAGGCGAACATCATGCTATTAACACGCATGCAGCACATATAAACAACAGGCTGTGCGCTCTTACCATCACGGCGCGCGCGTCTCGCTGGTTTTCCGGTGCAGTAGCGATGCGTAGCAACAGTGCACGCGCGGGCGTTACGGTTTGACGACCGAGCGCATGCTGCTCACCGTCCAGGCGTTCTCCTCGCTCAGTCCGCGCTGGTCAGCCCCATGCCACGGTCTGGTCCGGTCCGGTGGGGCTCGGATCGGGCTGCGGGGGCCGGTTCGGGGGTCGGGAGGAGGTTATTCTCGCCGCTATGTCTGCGCGTGCACGCAGCTTGCCTAAGATGGAGGATCAGCGCGTGTGTGCGTGCGCCCGTCATGCAACATGCGCAGTAGAGCAGCAGCAGCGGCGGCGGCGGCGGCGGAAGCACATGGATGATGTGGATCAGAGATGGAAGGCCAGCAGGCTGCTGTCACTGGCAGGAGCTTCGGGTGGATATGCACTGAGGGGGCAGGGCACTGTGCAGGATGGTTTAGCATAATAAATGAAATATATTAAGACATAATTAGTGCATGATGCATGATTAAATGAGTAAATGAATGAGAAAGGTCATCCTCCAGCTCTTTGATTTGATTTGGGATATGAAATTAACTACAAGCTATTGCTCATATTAATCATAATATAATAATAATAATAATAATAATAATAATAATAACAATACTACTAATAATAAAAATAATAATGTCTCCATGGTAGTGACAGTAATGCCGGTCAGTTTCATTAATGTCCAGGCTCTAAAGTGTAAGGAGCTGCTGAGCAAACTGGAACAGTAAAACACAAGCTTGTCTGCCAACACACACTGGGTGCCTGCCAGTGATCTACTGAGAGTGTGTGTGTGCGCGGATATGCTTAACTATAGGCAGTGTGTGAAATATCCCCTAGTATTCGGGGGCTCCTGGTGTGGAAAAACCGGCCTGCTCCTAATTCTAATACAAAACAGAAAACAATTAAACACCAAAAATGGCAGAGCAAAGTAAAATCCTTTATTAGAGATTAGGGCTTCACAAACGGAGGCGTTAACCTGAGTTGCCTGGGGGCACAACTAAAGAAAACAGGAAAAATCAAACCTTTTTTATACTTCTCTGTAGAGGTTACCCACCCCCATGACCTGATCTCACCGGATCTGTCTTACCGTCATATGCAACTCTGACTTCACCAAGTTCTATTTTAACTGTAACAATTTTGTACCTCTTACATACATTTTGTTTCTTTAGTCAGCCTCAGCCTTCTGTGACAAAAACCATTTGTTTTTTCTTCTAAAAGTGTCACGTCATCCTTCAGTTCATTTCAATTCATTAATATACCAGTACTTAAAATAATAATCACTGGCCTTTAAGCTATTGCATTTCATTACACCAGGGATCAGCAACCCAAATGTTAAGGAGAGCCATTTTGTCTTTTCAACACAAATCAAACCACCTTGGGAGCCACAATATTTTATGTCCATTTTACCATCTTGGCTGTTAATATGTCTCATTATGTGCTAATGCAGACTTAACGTTAGCTCAGCTGTAGCTGCTTTTCTCGCCTCTCTGACAGGAAACTTGTCCTCAAAAGTAGAACAGTTTCTTGTAAAATCTCTCTCTCTCTCTCTCTCTCTATATATATATATATATATATATATTTTAGGCTGATGTCAGCTTTTCATTCACCAGATTCTTGTTCGAATTTTCCTGTTCCACCTTAAAAGGCGCCTGAGGCACTAGAATGTAACTGCTGCATCATTTAAGGTGGAACGGGAAAATTTGCACAAGAATCTGGAGAATGAGAATCTGACTTCAGCTTCATCACTTTTTAGTGACAGTTTCTCATTGCAGATTAAATGTTTTAGGAAACCAGCTGGAGTCATTATAAATGCAAATAAGTCCATTCGTCTCCGAATTATCGTTGTTAAATTATCGATGTTGAGTTATCGTCTTAAATCTCTCTCTTTTCCTTTCCATTATCTACTAGCTAGGCGAGACTGTTGTCTGTGTTGCTATGGTTACCAGCAGTCTGCATGCCAACCTTCAGGGTTAAAGAGTAAATTAGCAGTTATACACTAACTCCAGCATTTAAGACCATTCAGTGTTAAAACTGTGTTAGTCATAGTCAGAGTCACACAGGCACACACACACTGAGCTGCCCAGAGCGAGCCATACAGCATAATATGATTAGTTATGATCAAAGTGATTAACATTATATGTTGAAAAATTGTTCACTTAAAAATCTTTTACATTATCAAAAAATCTCCATCAGTCCCGTGTTGACCGGCTACTCCAGCGTTGGCTGGCTGCTAACTCACTCACCATAGTGGCACTGACACTTCAATGTCACCAAAATGTTTGGGTTACCAGTTGTTCTTCTGGAAATGCTCTGTTCTAGTTTGTAGTTCCTCAAATTAACTGAGATCTTACTCATCTCCTCTTCTGTCTTCAGTGTGAGAAATGAGGAACAGTCACTCTTTACACCAAACTCTTGGGAAACTGGACGAGTTTTCAGAATTACAGATGTGCTGTGGCATATTGTAAAGTTTTTCAGAGGAACCCAGGGCAGAGTTACAGTTTCTAGCCTATGAAGGACCAACTGGGTGAATCAGTCTGTTATACCGCCACGCTGAGGCAGAGCATAATAAGGTTGTGAGTGAGGCATCTGAACAATGAGTTTCACTGAATTTGTATTTGGGTGTCTGTTTCACACTAATGGACAGCATGACATCATAGTTAATTTATTTAGAATTAGAATTTACATTTTGAGACATTCAGATGGTCCAAGAGGTTAATCAGAGGGTCCAGGAACCCCCAGGACCAACTGCATTTTGTATCTTGGCTATAGGCATTGCTTTAGGGCCATTCAACTGATTTAAGATAGAAATGTGATGTCATAGATTCTTAGTAAAGTCATAGATTTTAGTTAGTTAGCATATTGATGTCACAGATGTCATGGACCTCTGGTGAGGTCATACGGAGGAGTACAAGCAATCCAACTACGCTCTCCGTAAATCCATCAGAGCAGCTAAACGTGCGTACAGAATGAAAGTGGAAGCACAGTTCAACACAGCCAACACACGAAGCTTATGGCAGGGGTTAAATACAATCTCTGACTATAAAACTGCCTCTCGCACTCTGCCCAGTACCAGCGCTGATCTGCCGGACGAGCTTAATAACTTCTACGCTCGCTTCGACGGAATTCCCGCAGCACCACTGGAGAGCGCCCCGCCCACCGCTGATCCCAACGCCCCCTCCGTCTCCGTAGCTGATGTGTGCAAAGCCTTCAAGAGGGTGAACCCACGCAAGTCAGCAGGACCAGATGGCATTCCCGGGAGAGTGCTTAAAGCCTGCTACAGGGAACTAGCAGGAGTTTTTGCAGACATCTATAACACCTCACTGTCTCTCTCGGTCGTGCCAGCTAGTTTCAAACTAGCCACCATTGTGCCAGTTCCAAAGACAGCTAGTATTACCTGTCTGAACGACTGGCGACCTGTTGCCCTGACCTCCATCGTAAGCAAATGCTTTGAGAGGCTGGTCAGAGATATCATCTGTTCCTCACTGCCTGCCACCCTGGACCCACTGCAATTTGCATATAGGCGGAATAGATCCACCGACGATGCAATCGCCCTGACCCTGCACACTGCCCTCTCCCACCTAGAAAAGAAGGACACGTATGTGAGAATGCTGTTTGTAGACTACAGTTCAGCATTCAACACAATCGTTCCTTCGAGGCTCAACTGCAAGCTCCGGGATCTGGGTCTGAACAGCACACTGTGCAGCTGGATCCTGAACTTCCTGACGGACCGACGGCAGGTGGTAAGGATGGGAAGTATCACATCCTCCTCTTTGACCCTCAACATCGGAGCCCCCCAGGGCTGTGTGCTCAGCCCGCTCCTGTACTCCCTGTACACCCATGACTGCACTGCTAGACACAGCTCCAACGTCATCATAAAGTTTGCTGACGACACAACAGTTGTGGGCCTGATCTCCAACAGCGATGAATCGGCCTACAGAGAGGAGGTTAAAATCCTGGAAAACTGGTGCCAGGAGAATAACCTCTCTCTAAACGTCAGTAAGACCAAGGAGCTGATCGTGGACTTCAGGAAGCAGGAGAGAGTACACCCATCGATTTCCATCAATGGGACTGCGGTAGAGAGGGTCAGCAGCTTTAAGTTTCTCGGTGTTCACATCAGCGAGGACCTGACATGGGCAGTGCACACCTCACAGGTGGTGAAGAAGGCCCACCAGCGCCTCTACTTCCTCAGAAGGCTGAGGAGGTTTGGCCTGAACCCCAGCATCCTTAAGACCTTCTACACCTGCACTGTGGAAAGCATCCTGACGGGCAGCATCACCACCTGGTACGGGAACTGTACTGTTCGTGAGAGGAAATCTCTGCAGAGGGTGGTGCGGACAGCACAGTCCATCACCGGGGTTCAGCTCCCTAACCTATTGGATTTATACACCAGTCGCTGCCTGAGGAAATCCAGAAGGATTATGAAGGACCCCTCCCATCCTAGTCACTGTCTGTTCTCTCAGCTGCCGAGTGGTAGGAGGCTCAGAAGCTTAAAAGCCAGAACCAGTCGGCTCAAAGACAGCTTCTTCCCCCATGCAACCAGGCTATTGAACAGCCAGTAATCACTGCTCTGCCCAGCCCAACCCTTCCCATTACACGTACGTGCACCCACTGTACTCCCGCACTTTACTTGCATAGCTGGACTTTGAATACCTATCCAAAGACAATACTCTCCCCCTGCGCTTCCACTTAACTTCCTGTACCTTGCACTTTACTAAATACTCTGCCACCTACTGTACCATCTTCTACCTCCACACCTAGTGTGATTACTTGCACATCTACATAGCATTGTAATATCCATTACTATATATAGTATATAGTTGATTACACTCACTCTACATTCCCAGTGCAATATTATATGTCTCGGTGCAATATTATTATTTTTAAGTTATTGTGTAAGATTATATGTATATATTTTAGTTAAATTGGTTTTATCTATTCTTCTATCCTATCTATAGTTTTGTTTATCTATGTTGTAAATACTGTTCTCTGCATAATTTGTGGAACTCGCACTCAAGTTTTTCACTCACCTGTGTCCCTGTACTCTTGTGATGTGACAATAAATCTGATTTGATTTGATTTGATTTGATTTGACATGTCTCAGGTTTCAAGTGAAGTCAGAGGTTCCCAGTGATGTCATGGAGCCTTGCTGAAGTCACAGATTCTGAGTGATGTCAAAGATTCTAGGTGAAACCACAGATTCCTTGTGATGTCACAGATTCTACATGAATTTCTGA